CCCTCGGGCTCTTTACTAGCCTGCACATCCCTTCATTCTCCAGTAGCCTAGTTGGTGTCGGCTGTCTTCAGGACCTCGGCATCACCACTACGTTCCCTGGTCACGAGCGGTACACTGTCAGTACCGAGGCCGCCTCAGGTGCTCCCCTTGCGACGTTCCCTCGGGACCCGATGTCTGGCCTGTTTACGCTGGACACTGCTCCCCCCTCGGTGGGCAAGTCCTCCCTGGGTCCTATGTCTACTCAAATTGCTGCGGCTTGCTTGTGCTGGTCGCTCACTCACCCGTCGCTTCTGTGGCACCACCGCCTAGGTAACCCCGCACTCCCGCGTTTGCATCACATGTCTTAGCACGGTCTCGTCCTAGGTCTCTCTGCGGTGCTCCCTGCCCTCTCTCCCTTAACTGTGCCACCGTGCACTCCCTGCATCGAGGGACTGCTGCGCCGTGCCTCCACTCCTCCTTGCTTCGCCCTACCACAGCGCCACTCCAGACACTACACCTGGACGTCTAGGGCCCAGCCCTTGTCCCTAGGTCGCAACGCGAGTGGTACTTTCTCGTGCTCCTCGACGACTACACGCGCTACACCATGGTGTTTCTCCTGGAGCAGAAGGCGGACATGCCTAACGCTCTTCTCCCTTGGGTCGTAGCTGCGCGCCTCCAACGTGGTCTCCCTGTCCTGTTTCTCCACTCCAACCGCGGTGGCGAGTTCGCCTCTGGTCGGCTTGGAAAGTTCTGTTGTGCGGAGGGCATCACCAAGTCGTACACCCTACCGGACTCCCCACATCAGAATGGGGTTGCTGAGCAACGCATCGGCTTGGTCATGGAGGTGGCTCGTACCTCCATGATCCATGCCGGTGCACCCTATTTTATGTGGCCATTCGCTGTTCGCTTTGCCGCTCACCAGCGTAACCTCTGGCCGCACTCCCAGCGGCCGCAGGTTTTGCCGACCCTTCTTTGGACCGGGTTCTCTGGTTACACGTCCATGTTCCACGTCAAGGGCTGCCTTGCTCACGTTCGTGCCTCTAGCACGGACAAGCTCACTGCCCGCACTGTCCCCGGTTTCTTTCTCGGTTTCCCCCTTGACTCGTCTGACTGACACTTTTACCACCCGCTGTCTAACCGCTTCTTTCACTCCCGTGACGTCACTTTTGACGAGTCTGTCTCCTTTTACCACCGCTTTCCCCACCGTGGTCTCCCGGTTTCCCTGCCCTTATTTATGGTTCCCACCCCCCCAGTAGCTCCTGCTCCCCTCCCTCCCCGTCCTTCTCCTTCTGGTGTGTCTCACGTCACTCCCCTCTCGTCGGTTGTCCCGGTCGAGGAGTCGGCTGACTCTGCTGGCCCCGCAGCGCAGTTCTCGCTGCTTGTTGCTCCCCCGGTATCTCCTCCTCCCCCGTCGCAGTAGTGGCCGCTGTCGCCGCCGCCGCAGCAGCCGCAACCGTCGTCGCAGCCACAGCAGCAGCCGCCGCCGTCGCCGCCGCAGCCGTCCATGGTCTCTGGGGGTACAGGCGTTGAGGAGGGTGCTAGTCCTGGGGTTTCTGTCGTGGCTTGTCCCGGCGGTCCTGGAGGTGGCACCGGTGCTAGAGAGGGTTCTAGTTCTGGGGGTGCTGGTTCTGGGGGTGCTATCCTGGGGTTCGTGTCGTGGCTTGTCCCGTCGGTCTTGGGGGTGGCGCCGGTTCTCGTTATGGGGGTTCTGGAGTGGAGCGTTTTGGTGGTAGCCATGGTGCAGCTGGCGTTCCTGGAATCGGTGTGGAACAACTGCACCAACAGTCGCCAACGGTGTCCACCCTTCGCCTGCACGGCCTTCCCTCCCCTGACCGCATGCCTACGCCTCCCTCGCCGCCTCCTTCCCTTCCTGTCTACGGCCCTATGTTTCATCCGCCAGACTCGTCCCCGGCTCGTTTCCCCCCGCGTTCCCCTCCTGTGACTCCTCATGTGTCTTCTGACCCGACGCCTCCATCGCACTTCTAGTCTCGCCTTCCCTCTCATGCTCATCCTGTCTCTCTTGTCCCGCGCTCTCACCCTATGTTGCTCTGTTCCCACGCGTCTCATCCTCCCATCTTCCCCTCCCCTCCTCCGTCATCATTCGTTGCCGCTCCGCCTCCTCTGTCTGACTACCTTCGTGCCGCTCGTCCTCTTGTTCCTCGGGTCCTTTTCTCCCTCGTTACCGACCCGTCTGTTCCTGTCTCTAGTCTTGATGCTCTTGTCACTGCTGTCGCAGACTTCGCCTCTACCCACCACCTTGACAACGCCCCAGCTTTGGTCTCAAGCCCTGCCTGCCCTCCGTCCGTCGGAGGTGCTCTTGCCCTTGGAAGCGACGTTCTAGAGGACAGGCAGTACGAGCTTGCTTTCTTGTCTGAGGTCGCTCCGCATCTCTGCTCTATGCTGCTAGTCCCTGAGGGTGACCCTGATGCCCTTGGCATCCCGACCCCTCGCACTTACGGTGAGGAGAGCACGGGACCCTGTGCCTCTCAGTGGATAGCTGCCATGGAGCAGGAGATGGCATCTTGGAGATCCACCGGCACCTACGTCAACTCAGTTCCCCCATCTGGGGTGAACATAGTCGATGGCCATTGGCTCTTCAAGGTGAAGCGCCCCCCTGGAGAGTCGCCTGTGTTCAAGGCGCGTTACGTGGCTAGAGGCTTCAGTCAGTGCGAGGGTGTTGACTTCTTTCAGACCTTCGCCCCGACCCCGAAAATGACTACTCTTCGGGCGCTGCTACACGTAGCAGCACAACGTGACTACGAGCTACACTCCCTCGACTTCTCTACATCGTTTCTTTAGGGCTGCCTACACGAGTAGGTCTACCTGTGTCGTCCGTAGGACTTCACCGGTACCTTCCCTCCTGGGACCCAGTGGCTCTTCCGGCGCCCGTTCTTCGGCCTGTGACAAGTGCCTCGTGAGTGGCACGACACTTTGCATTCTACGCTAGCTAACCCGCAGTTCTTCCCGTCGTCTGCAGACCCCTCGCTCTTCGTTCGTGCTGGCCAGACCCCGTTCTACATTCTGGTCTACGTAGACGACCTGGTCTTCGCTACTGGAGACAGAGACGCACTAGCCTCCGCGAAGGCTGAGCTATGGATGAGACACATCTACATTGACCTAGGAGAGCTGCACTGCTACCTTGGCCTGCAGATCTCCAGGGACAGAGCAACACGCACCATCACTCTCACACTGTCACATTTGGTACGCCAGGTGCTTCAGAGTTTCTGTCCTCAGTTCTCCTCAGCACAGCCCACACCTCTGCCAGTAGTCCACATGCTCTCTGCACCAGTTCCTGAGGAGTCAGTAGAGCCCAATGGTCTTTACGCAGAGCTGGTGGGTTGCCTCCTATACCTGATGACTTGCACTCGTCCAGATCTCGCATACCCTCTCAGCATCCTGGCTCGCTTTGTATCGTCACGCAGACACCGGCCACAGCACTGGTCGGCCGCTAAGAGGGGTTTGCGTTATCTAGCAAGTACATCGGGCATGGGAATTGTGCTGGGAGGACGTAGGCCAGTGGTCCTTACAGGGCACACAGACTCTTCGTGGGCAGACGACGCTGAGACACTCAGGTCCTCCCAGGGCTACTGCTTTAGCCTTGGTTGAGGTGCTATCCCGTGGAGGTCCACGCGCTCCTCATCTGTTTCCCAAACTGGCTGTGAGGCTGAGATCTATGCCGGTGCCATGGCGGCACAGGAGCTCCGCTGGCTGACCTTCTTGCTCACCGACTTAGGTGAGCGGCCTAGCTCTGCCCCGATCATGTACGCAAACAATAAGGCCATGATCCTCCTATGTCCGGAGCCTCGACTCGAGGGCAAAGCGAAGCACATCCAGCTGCGGTACTTCCTTCTGCGCGTGCTACAGCAGCGTCGCCAGGCCCGTGTAGTACACATGGCCTCCGGTGTCAACACAGCTGATATCTTTACTAAGGCGCTTCCGCCTAAAGATCATCAGCGGCACCGTTTGCAGCTTGGTCTAGTTCCTGTAGCTCCTCACTTGCTAGGACCTTGATTGTGTACTCGTCTTATATGTATTCCTTCTTGTCTGGCCTTATGGCTGCTGTTATAGTGGACAGACTAGTAGTGCCGCCCTGGCTTGCTCTTGTCGAGTTTGTACTCTTGTTGATTGGTCTTCGGACCCTTGTCTCAGAGGTTGGACTAGTAGTGCCACGCTTAGTTGCTTGTCTCTTGCCAAGCAATACGCCTTGTCCAGTCTAGGGGGTGTGTGAAACATATTTGTATATGTTGCTATATACTATATAGGGTCATGCCTTAGCGAGTACAAAATTTTAAGTCAAAACCAGCATGTACTCCGTTTTCTAGCTCATTCTGCTCCTCAAGAATTTCTTCTGTGAGGGAGTACTTCAGGACAACCCTTTGTCGATTTCGTCCTTCACGAAAAAGTATTGGAGGGCGATGTGTTTTGTCATGTCAATGAAGCCAGACTTGTTTGCAATTTTGATTGCGCTCTGGCTGTCGCAGAGTGACTTGAAGTTACGAGTCGTTGCAATTTTCGCCTTTTGAAGTAACTCATGAAGATAGAGTCCTTCGCGAACTGTAGAGCTTGCTGCAATGAATTTTGTTTCGGCTGACGAAAGTGTGATAACTTCCTATTTCGTTGAGTTCCAAGAAAGGACACCACCTTGTTCAAGTTTGAAGATGATTTCTATGCATGAATGCTTGTTGTCGGGGTTAGCAGCGTGATTCGCATCATAGCTGTTTATGCGAACACGAGATAGAATAATGTGCCCAATTTCCAGGGTAATCAACAAAAAAATACCTTCGGTCGTTCCCACAAACAAGCTTACTGAGGATATTGTTGAAGTGCTTTGAGTGTAAATATATTAGTGGGATTTCCAATCTACAAGAGCTATGGAGCCTGAACTGAACCCGTCTAAGAACTGTAAAGCGGGTACGACGGGCCTGGCCAACGTGGACCTAGAAGCTTCAAACGAAAGCTCGCCAGTCCTGCATTGGGCTCATTTGCTGCCTACATCCCCAGGGGTGGTACAGAATTCAGTTTCTCAATGCCCTCTATGCTGGCTTCTCTCAGTCAGAGCCTTTCTCCACACTTGTCTCCGCTTTTGTGAAGATGGCTTTCTGTAGCTTCTGCAGCTGAGGATTCTTCCGGTCTCTCGGGCGAATCCCGTTCCGCAATACGAGATGGCGAGGCGAAAGGTCATACAGTCGTGCTGGAGGGACGCCAGCTCTTTCACTGCTCGGACGTTCCCATCGCGCGGCAAATCCGCGTCTACTGCTGCACGGTCAGACGCAGCAGTAAGGGACCAGCTACCGCTGTTAGCACCATCGTCGCACGCACCTGCTGCTAACTGGATTCGCGTGGCACGGGGGGAAGCCAAGGTCAAAGCCAAGGTCAATCATCGTATACTGCGGTCGACTGGAGGCCACAGCAGCAGCGTCCGAGCCTCGTGTCTGTCCCCAGGTGTGCTGTCAGCGAGGCTCGGCATACCTCCTCCCGAAGCTCTTATTACGGCCCGGCCGATCGCACTGCAACGCGCTCAACCGCGGCTGCCTATTCTGGTGCATGCGGGGACTCTAATAGGCCGTCGCGTGACTCCCTTTGCCGCGGCGATTCCCCTGTTGAGCCTTCACTCATTCACCAGCCTTCGCACCTTGCCACGTGGCAGCAGCTCAACGTGTCCCAGCGAATCCGCGCAGCTCAAAGAACCCACCGTAGTAGCCACTTCAATAACGTCGCCTGCGCCAGATTCTCGTGCCTGTCGGGCGTGGTCGTCGGTGGTCAGGGGACCCGGGTGGCAGCAGGGGCAGGCGCAACTAGCGGACTCGAGCGAAGCCGCTGAGTGTGACAGTAACGAAGGGGCGGTAACTGAGAGGCGGGCGGAGAGCGTCAAGGGCGGAGAGGGGCAGGTTGTGGGCGGTGGAAGCGGAGGGGATGGAGGGGAGGCTTGCGCCTGGGAATTGAGGCAAACGGCGGGTGGTGATGTAAGAGATGATGTCAGCACAGCGAGAAGTGCAGAATCCGACGCAAGGGTAGGTGAGCTGAATACAGCAGATTGTTTGGCGAGTGCAGCAGCCGTTGAAGCATCGGCAGCAGCAACAGCAGGAAGAGGAGGAGAGGCGTCGGGAGCAGTTGGGTTCAGCAGTGTGGCAACACCAGTTAAGGGAGTGGCTGCAGCATCGCGCATGCATAGGCGTAGGCGAGGAGCATGGCACAATCACAGTCACTTTCGCCTCGAGGATCTCCTGGAAGGTACGCTCTCCCAGGCGTGTCAACTTCCCCATCTCAGGTCTGCAAGGTTTGTCTACCGATTCAGGCTAGCTGATTTTTCCTTGAGAGGAGTTACTTCTCAGCATTAGGCTCTATGCTGTCAAAGATTCCACCTTCCGTGACACATCTCGTCCTGGTTCCTGGTCGTTGACGCCTTGCCCCCCCCCCCGGTGCACCAGGCAACCTCCATTCGTTCATCCGCGTGCAGTCAGGTTCTGGAACTGCAGTGGGCATCCTGGTGAGTGCAGGGTCCATTGTGTCGCTGCTTGCTCCGTCCTTGCAACGCTGAACGCACCCTCATGCACTGTGGCGCCGCTGATATAACGGTAAGCCCTGTTATGCCGTTGTGTGAGCTTCCTTCATCACAATCGCAGCCTTCATCCATCTTCCTCGTTCTCACTCTCCATCTCTCTCGCACCCTCTCTCGCACCCCCTTTCGCACCCTCTCTCGCTTCCTCACCCTCTGTTTCCCCTCCAGCTGGCGTCCATGCTGGCATCATACGCAGCCAATCCGTACACGACAGGTGGCAGCAGCAGCATCATCTGCAGGAGCGGCCGCAGCAGCAGCCGCAGCAGAGGTGGGAGAAGGGACAGCAGCAGAGAGAGGAGCAGCGGCACAGGCAGGGGGGTAGAGCGAGAGCCTGGAGAGGTCGTAGCGCACGGGTCTTACAGCCAGGCCACATCTTCCACTCCGCCTGTGCTGCCTGCCTTCTCTTCGCATTCTCCCGCCTTCCCCGCCCACTCTTCCCCTTCTGCCTCTCCCCCCTCTGTACTCCTGCTCTGCTCGCCCGACAGCCTGCAGCACGTGCAGACTGCGCTTGGGGGGGCGGGGGGGAGTGGGGGGAGAGGGGAGGGGGATGGGGGAGGAGCCGGGGGCACAGGAAGTGGGTTGGGGGCGGAGGAGGTTGCGAAAAGGAAGGGGCAGGTGATGGGGGGAGGGGGTGAGGGGGGAAACCGGCAGGTGGAGCAGGCAGAGGGAGGGAGTGGTGGCAATGTTGTGGTGTTGACGCCTGATCAACTCATGGCTCTCCTCGGCTCCCTGCCTGCGCACACTGCTCCAACTGCACCTGCAGCTGTCTCTCCCCCACACGAATCGGCTGCAGCAGTGCTGCCGGCAGATGCTGCAGTTACGATACGAGCAGAGGTGGGCACAGTTGATGACGCGTCATTGCGGGAGGAGCCATGGCCGCAACACACGATGCAGCACCAGCAGCAGGTGACGCAGCAGCAGCAACACACGATGCAGCAGCAGCAGCAGGTGGGGCATGACGTGGCAGCACTACTGTCAGACGTACGAGTGGTGGTGATGGATGACGTGGATGGCCTCATGGCCGCCACATGCCATGGGGATGGCTGCTCTAGCAGCAGTGAGAGCAGCGGTATTCACTGCAGCAGTAGTGCGAGCAGCAGCAACGCGCTTGAAACCATTCTGGCTCGCATTTCACCGCAATCGACTGTTCATCACCAGTCCTCAGCATCAGCAGAGCATCCTCGTGACGTGGGCAGCAGTCCCTTCCAGCATTCGCCTTCTATCATTGCCTTCTCCTCCCTGCCTCTGGACGCCATGCCAGTGGCCTCGTCATTATTGTCAGAAGAAGCCTCATTCGCAGTATCGCAACCATCATCATCATCATCAGAATCAGCATCATCATCGTCAGCACAGGAGGTGCTTGAAGCCATGCTCGGTTCCCCCATGCAGCAGCTGGATCTCTCACAGCCGTTGGATGCTCCGCAGCTCTTTGGATCCAGCCGTTCCTCGTCAGCCGTGCGGCCGTCCATCCTCTCTGTATGTCCTCTTCCTCGCACCCACGCAAGGCATCTCTTTCTGCTTGCAAGGCATCTCTTTCTGCTTGCGCCTCGTCCTGTCCTAATCCTTCCAGCCCTGCGTGAGGAGTCTATTTTTGAGGCGCCTCAGAAAGAGAATCCTTCGAGCCCGGTTCCTCTCGGGCCCTTCTGGTCTGGGTCGACCCACCCACCCTCCGTCACTCACAGCCACTCCCACCCTCCGTCACTCACAGCCACTCCCTCCCTTCACTCATCCCTCGTATCTCCCTTCCTACCCTTCCTCTCTGCTCTCCCCGTGCTGCCCCGCCAATCAGGTGTCGTTACTGAAAGCTATCCACACCTCCTCCCTCCTCTCTCCCTCCGCCTCCTCCCTCTCCCTCACTCTCCTCTCTGATTCCACCCCCCACCACTACCCCCTCCGCCCTGCGTCCCTCTCCACCCTCCTCCGCCCAGCCCTCCTCCCTCCTCCCGCACCCCAATCCCAGCCGCCCTCCTCCGTCTTTTCCGACCCATTGCGAGTGCCATCGCTATTACAATCACAAGTGCAATCACCTACCATGTCAGCAGTAGCGGTCTACTCCCCTCCCCTCGCCCCCTCCTCCCTGCACCATCTGCTGCAAGCCCTCGTGGCAGCGGGGCTGCAGCAGCAGGCGCACTCCCTCGTCTCCCTCGCCCTCCGCCCTCTCTCCTCTGCCCATGCGGCTGTGCACGAGGGGCGAGAGAGCAGAGGAGACGAGGGAGGGGAGGGAAGGCAGGGAAGGACAGAAGCACAGCTAGAGGCGTGGATGCGGTTTCTCCTTGGTTTTACCAATTGTGCGTCCGCCCCTTACGGCCTGCCCTGTCAGGATTCCGAGTCTTATGAGTCGACTCAAAATACACCTTACGGCCTGCCCTGTCCGGGTTCTGAGTCTCTAGATTTCATGCTGAGAGCCATGGCACGGGACGGGCGGGATCTCTTTGACCTGCTGCGACTGGTGCGACAGGCACACGCTGCCATGGACAGGGCCCATTCTGACGTGGACAGGACACATGCTGACATGGCAGAAGGCGATCCTGCTGCGACTGTTCCTGGCATGGGTGCCAGCAGCAGCCACACCCCCCATCCCCATAGCCACGTACTAAGTGCATCCGCCTACAGCAGTCTCATCCGCGCGTGTGTGAACGGGGGCCATGTGAGGGAAGCCAGGCGGATACTGAGAGACATGGAGAAGAGGGGCGTTCCACCCTCACAGGCAGCAGTGAACATTGTCGCCCACATGCTCTTCTCCCAGGGGGACCCAGACGCCGCCCTCTCGCTCCTGCATCATGTGAGCGCGGCCCACAACATGCCGATGAACGCCGCCCTCCTGACGACGTACGTGTGGGGGCTGGGGCAGGCGGGGCGGGTGGAGGAGGCGGAGGAGCTGCTGCTGGGGGCGGTGGGCCGGGGGGGGATGGGGGGAGGGGGGTGAGGGATGGGGAAGTGGTGCAGGGGAGAGTGCAGCCGAATGTGCGGACGTGGAATGCGCTCATGCATGGGTATGCGCTGAAGGGCGATGCTGACGCGGCTGAGGGCGTGCTGCGGCTGATGAGGGGCGAGGAACGTGCTGTGGTGGGTGGTGAGAGATACCTGGCTGGTGGGGGGGGGGAGATGGGGGTGGGCGGGGATGGTGGGGGAGAGGAGGAGGAGGGAGGAGAGGGCGGTGGGTTTGGGGAGGGGGACTGGGACGAGGGTGAGGGGTATGAGGAGGAGGTTAGAGAGGGGGCAGTGAAGGGTAGGGAGCCGACAGGCGAGTGGGTTGGGGAATATGAGGAGCGAGAGTATGAGAGGAGGGAGAGTGGCGTGTGGCAAGGTAGTGGTGAGGAGGGTGGTTACAGTGACAAGAAACACCTAGATCAGCATCATTGGCAGGAATGCCAACAGCAGCAGCAACCCGAGTACCCTTCTGAGCACACTGGCCGGTTCCCCTGGCCGAGTGTGCGCCCCAACACAGTGACCTACTCCACGCTCATGGCAGCCTATGCTACAGCGGGCAGGAGCGCCGAGGTGTGGGACGTGTACAAGGAGATGCAGACCCTCTCCATTCCTCCCAATGAGTTCACCTTCGCTACACTCATCTCCTCTTCCGCAGCCCGCAGCCGCCCGGATCTGATCGAGTCCGCACTTGCTGACATGGCGGCGAGTCAGCAGTGCGCTGACGTGGCGCTGGTGACGAGTGTGCTGGCGGCGGTGGTGGGGTGTTGTGGCGGGAGGAAGGAGGAGGCGGGGCGGGTGCTGAGGTGGCTACTGGGGGAGGCGAATAGCGAGGGGGGTGTGGAGGGAGTGGAGAGTGAGGGGGGGGTTGGGGAGGCGTGTGTGCGACTTATCTTGGAGGATGGGCTCTCGGACGCTCAGGTGTGTGTTGAGAGTATTGAGTCAACCTGAAAGGCTTAGATGAGCTCAGGTGACTGTTTCTTTGGTAAGGCTCGGGATGCAGTAAGGTTTGCATCCGTTCTAGATGAGGCGCCTCACACGTTGCATTGCTTGCCTGCCTTGCTGGTTTTCTCCTCTCTGCCCCCCATGCCCCCCTCTCTTGCCGCACTGCACCCGACTTGTCCCAGTCACTCATCTCCGTTCCGTTGCCCTATCCCTCTCCCATCCTCATTCGACCTGATTCCCACCCTCTCCTCCCCCATCTTATCCCTCTCTGGGCACCAGGTTCACCACCTCATCCACCACCTCCTCTCCCAACCATCAATACCCCCTTCTTCTTCCTCCTCCTCTCCTCTCGCGTCACACTCCATCCATCACACTCACTCTCACTCCTCTCCTCACTCCACTCGCTCTCAAGAGGTGCTAGCTGCCACTCTCACCGACTGTCTCTGGACGTTTGGGCGGCACCGGAGGGCAGCGCTTGTCCTTTCTGCTGCCCTGCAGGCGGGGTTGATGCAGGGACTGGGGGAGAGCTCACGAGGCGCACAGGGGGAGACAGGGATAGGCAGAGGGGGAGGAATGGGCAGAGGGCGCAATAGCAGCAGCAGCACCACCACCACCAGCAGCAGCAGCAGCAGCAATAGCATCAAGAGAAATTTCAGCACAAGTAGCAGTGAGAGTATCGACAGCAGTTGCAGTGGAAGCAGCAGCAGCAGCAGCAGCAGCAGTACTGGTAGTGAGGAGAATGTAGAGAAAGGGAGTTTCCCAAAAGGTGAAAGGCAGTCTATGGTCGAACAAAAGGGTGCGGCCAGACACAGGGGTGCAACTGAGCTGGTCCAATTAGACAGTGACACGTGGCAGCTGGACGTGCGGCGTATGTCGTACGGAGGAGCAGCTGTGGCGCTGAACCAGTGGCTGGTGAAGCTGCTGCACGTGGTCCACTGCAACGAGACGTCTCGGCGCCAGGTGGCTTCTAGCATCGACAGTTTCCAGCAGTGGAAGCGGGGATTGAGACACCAGTCAAGAGAGCACCCAAGGGGTGCCACAGCAGACCAGAGAGCAGCGCAGAGCAGAGAGTTAAAGACAGAGGCAGAGGCGGAGGGGCCAGAGCTGCTGGTGCAGCTGGCGCCGGCAGCGGCATGGCAGCAAGTGCTGGTGAGAGTGACGGGCGGAGGAGGAGGAGGTTGGAGAAAGGGGGGGCCTGGAGTGGTGGTGGCGCCACATGAGGTCGTGGTGGTGACGGGGTGGGGGGGGCACAGCAGGGGGGCCAGGCAGGGCAGGGGGCAGGGGGAGGGGCGGGTGCGGCAGGCGATGATGCAGGAGGTGGGGCGGCTAGGGCTGCCCTTTGGTGCCACAGGGCGGGGGCAGCAGCATGGGGGGAGTGGGAAGCTGGTGGCATTTGGGCCGGATTTGGTGGCGTGGCTGAGAGGGCCGGAGGCTGCTGCCATGCTGACTCTGGTGGATCATGACTGGTAGCGCTGTGGCCTGTGGGGGTTTGAGAGGGCCGCTTGAGTTACCGCGTTTGAGACGGACCTGGTGGTGTGGCTCACGCAGGGGTCGGAGGCTGCTGCCATGCTGACCCTGGCGGACCGTGACTGGTAGCATTGTGGCCTAGAGGATGGTAGGTGCCTTTTGCTAGCAATAGTGAAATATGTGGCCTTGATTAAGAACTTGTATGCATGTATGGCTGAATTAGGAGGCGCAATTAGCATGAAGCATGTTGCAGCACAAAGCCCAAGTTCAGCATTCGTGGATGATGAAAACAGTTGTTTGTGCATGTACCCACCCACCCGCCACATGTACCCGGCCCGGCTCTCTTCTCATGGCCCAACTGCAGCAAACCCAGCACCTACCGTACCTTGATGCTTGAGGGCATCTCCACTATATGCATTTCTGTTAACAGCACATCCCATAGCAGGGCTGCACTGCTTCTCACACCCTCGTTATCTCACTCTAAACGCCTCTACAGCAGCGCCTTCTGCAACTGCTGTGGCGCCTGCACCTACCGCGCCGGCACCGGTCGCGCCTGCTGCTCTGACTGCCGCGCTGCTGTCTGCATTCTCCCCGTGTGCTTGCTGCTCGTCCCTCCTCTCATCTCCGCCCGTGGCCGCCCCCCTCTCCCCATCATCATCATCATCATCATTATTCTCGCCACCCTTGCCCGCCACATCAGCTGTTGCACACCCTCCTTCTGCCTCACCACCTGCACACTCCCCCTCCACCCTTCCTTCTTCCCTCGCTCCCTCGACACCACCACCTGTCTTATCACTCCCTTCACCCCCATCCCCCCCATCTCTCCCACGTGCCTCCATCCTCGCCTCCTCCTCTTCTGCCCTCGCCAGCCGTGCTGCCCACTCCTCATCATCCTCATCCTCCTCATCACCCTCCCCACCCCCTCCCCTCCCTCTCCCCTTCCCCCTCACTCCCCCCCACCGGCTCTCAGTCACAGGTCGAGGGGAGCACACACCTAGAGTCGGCTCTCCCCTCCCCATGGCCCCTAACTTCCCTATGGGCGCCCCTCCCCCAGGTGCCACCTCCCCCAGCAGCGCCTCTGTGGATTTCTCCTGTGTGTGCACCTGCAGAAACCGTCTCCTCATGCCCATTGCCCTCCTGCCCGCATCCCCTCCACTCCCCACGCGCTTGGGACTGCCACCCTTGGGACTGCCACCCTTGGGGCTGCCGCCCTTGGGACTGTCGCCCTTGGGACTTCCGCTCTTGGGACTGCTGGCCTTGGGACTGCCGTCCGTGGGACTGCCACCCTTAGGACTGCCGGGCTTCGTTGCTTTCAATTCAGGGCTCGAGCTCTTAGGGCTTGTGGTTTTGGGGCGTGCACCTTGAGAGTCGCTACCTGATCTTGGGCCGCCCACTGCATTGTCTCTCCCCCCCTCCTCCTCATCGCCCCCCCCCTCCCCCCCACCCACCACAACACACAGCTGCTTCCTCCCCCGACAAGCCCCTGCCTCTGCTCCGTCCCCCTCACCCGCCAATCCCCTCTCTACCGACTTGCGCTTTCGAGCAAGGGAGGGCGAAGGGGAGGGGGAGGAGGGGTTGCAAGACATCCCCTCGCCTCTGAACATCCCCTCCTCCCCTCCCTCTGTCTCTGTCGGGCCATTCCCCACCTCATTGCCTCTCTCTCTCGTCTCCCCTTCTCCTGCTCCTCCCCCCCCACCTCCTTCCCCCCTGCCTCCTGCCCCCCCTGCTCGTCCAGCTCCTTCCACTGCCGGCTCCCCGCTGCGCTCTCCCCTGACACCCGCACCCCCCGCTGCCTGCGCTGCACTTGGGTCCAGCAGCCCCTGGGCCCGTTTCCTGCAGGGACCACAAACAGCACAGAGAGACGCACTTCAGACCCATGCATGGCGGAAGGCACACGGCAGAGATGTGAAGCACACCACATGTACATTGAGCCATGCTGCCTGATCCTATCCTCCCCCCCCCTCTCCCCCTTCCCCCTTCCTTTCACGTCTGTAGCCACCAGGACTGCATCCCACCTGAGGGCGTCGTTGCAGATGGTGCCGTTTACGGGCGGCAGAGTGGGCAGCGGCCGGGGCGGAGAGGGCGATCGTGAGAGGGCGAGGCGGGCAGATGGGGACAAAGGACGGGCGGGTGGGGACAAAGATGGCCGCCCCAGAGGAGGAGAGGGCGATCGGGAGAATGGTCGGCGGGCCGTGGGGGAGAGGGATTGGTGAGGGGGCAGGCGAGGGGGGTGGAGGAGGGGAGCAGGGAGGTGGAGCGGGGGCAGCGGGTGGGAGGGGAGGAGCGGGGGAGAGTGGGCTCTAGGCACCGTTGCGGCTGCTGTCTCTGGCTCGTCGTCGTCGTCACTGGCAGCAGGGAGTGCAGAGAGTGGTGGGGGAGTGGCATGATAGCAAGGGTGAGAAGGAGAGGTGAACGGAAAGAACGGAAGGTCAAAGCGTTGGTTGATGAAGCACAGGGATGCATGGTTCCAAGCAGAATAGCAAGGCAGTAGTTGCTCACAGGCCTCTGTTATCGCCCTCACCTGCCATCCCGGCCAAAGCAGCTGCTGTACCCAATCTCCACCACTCCCCCCTCCGCCTCCCCCTCATGCCTGCGCCCACGCCTTCTCCCTCTCCCTCTCCCTCTCCCCCTCCCACCCCCCACCTCCTCTCCCCTTCCCCCGTCGCCACCCCCATCCCACTCCCCTGCCAAGACAGGCACCACACCCAGCGCCGAGCCTGCTGCCGAACCAGCAAGGCTCGGTCGCATCTGATCTCTTGAGGGTTGGAGTGGCTGCTGAAATTGTTGATCCGGCCTGTTGTGAGCCACGTCATTAGCATCCGCGTCATTAGCCTCAGCATCACTATCGCTGTCATCATCATCACGGCCCCCCTCCTCCTCGTTGTCATCTCCATCATCAGCATCATCTCTCGCACCATCATCACCATCATCACCATCAGCAGCATCAGCAGCATCACTATCACGAGCAGCATCAGTGTGAGCGTTAGTGTGAGCTTGAGAGTCAGTGGCAGCGTCGTTAGCAGAGTCGTTGTCATGGCTGACAGCAGCAAGAGAAGCGTCAGCAGCAGAGGCAAGGTGGGAAGATGATGGAGGGGAGGCGTGGGGATGGTGCAACTGCTGCTGCTGCTCCTGCTGGTGGTGGTGATGATGGTGATGCGAGTGGTGGTGGTGGGAGGAGGCGGAGGGGGGGATGATCACAACTGGGGGAGGCACAGCTGGTCGGTTAGGCTCGAGGTTCTGTATTGGGGGGAATGGAGCGAGCAGTGGAGGGCGCAATGGAGGGCGCAATGGAGGGCGCAGAGGGAGAAAACGGAAAGAAGGGCACAAGAGAGCATAGAACGGGCATGAACACAAGGCAAAGCATGAAAGGGCTGGGAGACGCAGAGGAAACAGGCAAGGCATAATAAGACCATCTGCTGGCACAGTCCATCTTACTCTCTCCACTCCAATCCCTGCTTTATTCGTATCTCGAGCCCCCCCACCTGCTCGTATTTGAGTCGCAGCAGCTTGAAGGAGTCAACGTAGTCAATGCCGTCCAGCCATGAGCCGTATGACTCCACTATGTACGCCACCAGGGGCCTCACGTTCTCCTGCGGGCACGATCCGTGCAAAGTCAGGGTAAAACGGTACTCTGGTAAGATGACACGGAGGGCTCAGGTGAAATGACATGGAGAGTTAGCGGTGAATGGCACTGGAACGACAGGGTCAGAAGTGCGGGAAGCACCATAACAAGCTAGTGAGCATCCCATTGACGCTCACTAGAAGCCGATGGATCAACACCTCATTCCCCATCCCACGCCCCTCCCTCCCCACTTGATCCCACCTGTCTGACCAGGTCAACGAGTCTGAGCTCCAGGGAGCTGAGGAGGTTGCAGCGCGCACACTCCTACCCATGTTGGATTTGTGACCAGCTTGGATTACACCCTTGCAACCCATTTGGAACGCACCTTCCTGACGAAGTCCATGAGCTCCAGCACCACCGAGTTGAGGAGGTTGTAGCGCGCGCCATTGGCTCGGAAGGCCGCCATCACGGGGTCCAGCAGGCGGTTCTTCACCAGATAGCGCACGTAGAAGTCGTCCTGGGGAGGGGATTGTGGCGCAGACGGGAATCAAGAGAGCATATATGGCAAGAGGAAGCCATTTGCTTGCAAGGCTGCCCCATGACTGGGCCCAGAAGACGGCTCTTCACGAGATAGCGCATGTCCAAGTCGTCCTGGCGGCGGGTGACGAGCAAGGCAAGGGAGGGCACAGGGAGCGAACAGGGAGAGAGCAGGGTGAGAGCACATAACGCAAAAGGCGGCCGTAGCTGGAAGGCTAGCAACACGGGGTTGAGCAGGCGGTACTTCACGAGAAAGCGCACGTCGACGCCGCGCTGGTGCGGGTGTTAATTTGCGGGAGGGGGGAGAGACAAGGCGAGGAGGGAAAGGGCATAGATGGCTCTTCAGGAGAGCAGGGAAAGGGGATGCAAACAGGCGAGCAGAGAGAGGGTGGGAGTGGAGAGGATTCAACATGAGGTGGCAGGCATACCTTGAGCCCCACGCATGTGCGCAGGAAGCGGATGGCCGCCACCGAGAGGTACTTCTCATGGCGGTGGGTGAGACGAAGCACCTTCTCCACCACGTTGTTGCGCAGCACGTAGTACCTGGGGGTTGGGGGGGGAGGGGGGGAGGGGAAGAGGATGCGTCAGAGCACACATGGAGTGAAAGGAATGTGTATAGTGATGGTGGTTGGAGAAGAGCATGTGAGGGGCTCACTTCATGCGGAAGCTGTGGTGCTGCACGCAGAAGCACAGCAGATCGCAGATGCTCGTCAGCACATCTGGTGAAGGCGACACCTGCCCACCTCCACCCCCACTGCCATCCCCCTCACAGCCTCTTCTCTCCTCACCATCTGCATCCCCCTGCTCTCCACTCCCCTTGGCGCCACCTCCCTCAGGCCCATCGCTCTCTGCTGTCTCCGCGTCACCACCCCTGCCTCCTGTTCCCCTCCCTGCTTCTCCACCCTCCCGCCCGCTCCCTTCCCCACCCGCTCTCCCTAGCGCTACCCCCCTCTTCTTCGTAAACCCGGTGGAATCATGGGCAGCAGAGGGGCGTGTGGATGGCTGGGATGCGTTGGTGCCGGCAACAACGGCTGAGATGAGCAGCTGAAGATAGTCCTCGTAGAAGAGGTCCAGAAACTTGCTCTTGTCCGCCTGAAACGCGCAAGAGGAGAGGCAATCACCGGGAGAGAGAGAGAGAAATGAGAGAGTTATCGCCAGAGAGGAGGGTGATAACGTCAGCGACTGTGCGGATACAGATGGGTGGCGTACGTCCCACTCACCGCGTCCATGGTATCAGTGTCCAGCAGCATCCGCAGCATCTCCAGCAGCTGCGCATGCAGCCCGCCCTCCGCCTCCCTGCACGCCACCATGCCGCGCACCTACTCCCATCATCGCCACATGGGGGATGAGGCCATGCAGGCATGGGATGCATGTGTGAAATGCAACTTGAGCATAAGCATAGACACCTGCATCTACAATTATATATGTTATTATTGGAGGACTAGCTACTGGCATAGTGACTTTTATGGAACTTAAGAACGCACAACCCTTAGCACACACTTCAACTATAAATAACAGTGATATTGGTTCTGCAATCGTTGCCGGGGCGAATGGGAGGACTGCAAGGATGACGGATGCATGGTGCAGGGCTAGATGGTCGAACATGGCAAACGAGTGAAAAGATAGGGGTACACGAGTGAGCGGGAGGAGAAGAGGACGGGAGACAACGAGGCATGACGGGAGGGAGCGAGGGATAGGAGGCAGGAGAGGAGGGTACCAGGGATGAGAGTAGAGCGTGGTTGGGTTGCTCCACGAGGAAGGTGCGCAGAGGGGCGGGGTCCGGCACCATCAGCGACATGAGGATGTCGATGCTGGGGGTTGGGGGGGGGAGATGGGGAGAAATGCAGGAATAGGGTCAGGCACCGTCAGAGACATGAAGACGTCAATGCTGGGGGGCGGGGGGTTGGAGGCAGGGGAGAAGAGGGAAGGATGGGAAGGATGAAGGGGAATGCAGGAAAACGGTGCGCAGGCCATGGAATGGCAAGACCGTGAACTGGGAAACACGAGGTGCATGGGAGGGAGGGCAAGCGTGGTGCATGGGAGCGCCTCACCCTGAGAGGCGCACGGACTGGTGGGCGTGCTGCATGACGAGCGTGCACACCTCAAACAGCCCCAGCCCTATCAGCGCGCTGCAGGGGGGCCATTGGGGAAGGCAGTTTGCACAGTGGAAAGGACAAGGGTTGGGGAATGCAGGAGCGAGAAAGCCAATGTGGCAGCTGGGAGGGACGGTCAATGTGGCAGCTGGGTGGGACGGTCAATGTGGCAGCTGGGTGGGCCGGTCAATGTGGCAGCTGGGTGGGACGGCCAATGTGGCAGCTGGGTGGGCCGGTCAATGTGGCAGCAGGGTGGGACGGTCAATGTGGCAGCTGGGTGGGACGGCCAATGTGGCAGCTGGGTGGGACGGCCAATGTGGCAGCTGGGTGGGACGGTCAATGTGGCAGCTGGGTGGGCCGGTCAATGTGGCAGCTGGGTGGGACGGTCAATGTGGCAGCTGGGTGGGCCGGTCAATGTGGCAGCAGGGTGGGACGGCCAATGTGGCAGCTGGGTGGGACGGCCAATGTGGCAGCTGGGTGGGACGGTCAATGTGGCAGCTGGGTGGGCCGGTCAATGTGGCAGCTGGGTGGGACGGTCAATGTGGCAGCTGGGTGGGACGGCCAATGTGGCAGCTGGGTGGGACGGTCAATGTGGCAGCTGGGTGGGACAGTCAATGTGGCAGCTGGGTGGGACGGCCAATGTGGCAGCTGGGTGGGACGGTCAATGTGGCAGCTGGGTGGGCCAGTCAATGTGGCAGCTGGGTGGGACAGTCAATGTGGCAGCAGGGTGGGACGGACAATGTGGCAGCTGGGTGGGACAGTCAATGTGGCAGCTGGGTGGGACGGTCAATGTGGCAGCTGGGTGGGACAGTCAATGTGGCAGCTGGGTGGGACAGTCAATGTGGCAGCTGGGTGGGACGGTCAATGCGGCAGCTGGGTGGGACGGTCAATGTGGCAGCTGGGTGGGCCGGTCAATGTGGCAGCTGGGTGGGACGGTCAATGTGGCAGCTGGGTGGGACGGACAATGTGGCAGCTGGGTGGGACGGCCAATGTGGCAGCTGGGTGGGACGGCCAATGTGGCAGCTGGGTGGGACGGTCAATGTGGCAGCTGGGTGGGCCAGTCAATGTGGCAGCTGGGTGGGACGGTCAATGTGGCAGCGGGGTGGGACAGTCAATGTGGCAGCGGGGTGGGACAGTCAATGTGGCAGCTGGGTGGGACGGTCAATGTGGCAGCTGGGTGGGCCGGTCAATGTGGCAGCTGGGTGGGACAGTCAATGTGGCAGCTGGGTGGGACAGTCAATGTGGCAGCTGGGTGGGACGGTCAATGCGGCAGCTGGGTGGGACGGTCAATGTGGCAGCTGGGTGGGCCGGTCAATGTGGCAGCTGGGTGGGACGGTCAATGTGGCAGCTGGGTGGGACGGTCAATGTGGCAGCAGGGTGGGACGGACAATGTGGCAGCTGGGTGGGACGGCCAATGTGGCAGCTGGGTGGGACGGCCAATGTGGCAGCTGGGTGGGCCGGTCAATGTGGCAGCTGGGTGGGACAGTCAATGTGGCAGCTGGGTGGGACGGTCAATGTGGCAGCAGGGTGGGACGGACAATGTGGCAGCTGGGTGGGACAGTCAATGTGGCAGCTGGGTGGGACAGTCAATGTGGCAGCTGGGTGGGACGGTCAATGTGGCAGCTGGGTGGGACGGTCAATGTGGCAGCTGGGTGGGCCGGTCAATGTGGCAGCTGGGTGGGCCGGTCAATGTGGCAGCTGGGTGGGCCGGTCAATGTGGCAGCTGGGTGGGACGGTCAATGTGGCAGCTGGGTGGGACGGTCAATGTGGCAGCTGGGTGGGCCGGTCAATGTGGCAGCTGGGTGGGACGGTCAATGTGGCAGCTGGGTGGGCCGGTCAATGTGGCAGCTGGGTGGGACGGTCAATGTGGCAGCTGGGTGGGCCGGTCAATGTGGCAGCTGGGTGGGACGGTCAATGTGGCAGCTGGGTGGGCCGGTCAATGTGGCAGCTGGGTGGGACGGTCAGTGTGGCAGCAGGGTGGGCCGGACAATGTGGCAGCTGGGTGGGACGGCCAATGTGGCAGCTGGGTGGGACGGCCAATGTGGCAGCTGGGTGGGACGGTCAATGTGGCAGCTGGGTGGGCCAGTCAATGTGGCAGCTGGGTGGGACGGTCAATGTGGCAGCAGGGTGGGACGGACAATGTGGCAGCTGGGTGGGACAGTCAATGTGGCAGCTGGGTGGGACAGTCAATGTGGCAGCTGGGTGGGACGGTCAATGTGGCAGCTGGGTGGGACGGTCAATGTGGCAGCTGGGTGGGCCGGTCAATGTGGCAGCTGGGTGGGACGGTCAATGTGGCAGCTGGGTGGGCCGGTCAATGTGGCAGCTGGGTGGGACGGTCAATGTGGCAGCTGGGTGGGACGGTCAATGTGGCAGCTGGGTGGGCCGGTCAATGTGGCAGCTGGGTGGGACGGTCAATGTGGCAGCTGGGTGGGCCGGTCAATGTGGCAGCTGGGTGGGACGGTCAATGTGGCAGCTGGGTGGGCCGGTCAATGTGGCAGCTGGGTGGGACGGTCAATGTGGCAGCTGGGTGGGCCGGTCAATGTGGCAGCTGGGTGGGACGGTCAATGTGGCAGCAGGGTGGGCCGGACAATGTGGCAGCTGGGTGGGACGGCCAATGTGGCAGCTGGGTGGGACGGCCAATGTGGCAGCTGGGTGGGACGGTCAATGTGGCAGCTGGGTGGGCCAGTCAATGTGGCAGCTGGGTGGGACAGTCAATGTGGCAGCTGGGTGGGACAGTCAATGTGGCAGCGGGGTGGGACAGTCAATGTGGCAGCTGGGTGGGACAGTCAATGTGGCAGCTGGGTGGGCCAGTCAATGTGGCAGCTGGGTGGGACGGTCAATGTGGCAGCTGGGTGGGCCGGTCAATGTGGCAGCTGGGTGGGACAGCCAATGTGGCAGCTGGGTGGGCCAGCCAATGTGGCAGCAGGGTGGGACGGTCAATGGTGGGTGCAGGCAGAGACTGGACAGAGCACGGATCAGCTGCATGCCAAGTGCTGCGGTGCGGTGTGGTCGGGTGGGATGTGGTGCAGCACCGAGGGATGGGAGCATGTGGCACGGAAGCATGGAGGCATGGAGGCATGGAGGCATGGAGGCATGGAGGCATGGAGGCATGGGGGCATGGAGGCATGGAGGCAATTTTTTAGGCGCCTAAAAAATGGAGGCATGGAGGCAGGGAGGCACCTGAAGAAGGAGGTGCGCTGGGCGAGCTGCAGGTGCTTGTGCAGCGCGCAGAACTCCTGCAGGAAGCGCACCTGGGGGGGGGGAGACACGAGAGAAATAACGAGGGAAAGAGTGGAGTGAAGCAGTGAGGCAGTGATCCACGAGCTGCAGGAGCTCGTGCAGCATGCAGAACTCCTGCAGGCACCGAGCCTTGAGGGGGGAGGGTGGGGGGGAGGGAGGGATGGGCCCTGGGGGCAAGAGTGGAGTGAAGCAGTGAGTGAGGCATGGAAGAGTGGGTGAATGAAGAGTGGAGTGATGGGATAACAACGAGGTGAGCGGGTGAAGAGGGAAGGGTCTCACGAGGTCAGTGAACTGAAGCGAGTGGGGGTCAGTAGAGCGCAGCCGTGCAAAGAGGTCAGCCAGAAAGGGCTTGTTGCCCTGCAGACTGGAGACAACCTGACGGGGGGGGAGGTGAAGGGAGAAGAGGAGAGGCACGAAGGAGGAGAGGAGAGGCGTGAGAGATAGACAGGTACGGATGGATAGATGACAAGAAAGAGCAACTGAGGGGCAGGGGTAGGGGGGAACAGGACAGGATAATGTAGAACGTGAACAACATTCTGTAGGTTGCTTGCAGTACATGGATTAATCAGGGTGAGGCGGTTTTACCTCCACGTTATTGAAGAGAATGAGCGAGTTAATGCTGCTGAACGTCTGGTCATCTAGAGCCCTCGGTAGAATCACATCCTGCAATAGTGACAGCAGGGGCATGGCAACACAGGAGCAGAGTCAGAGGGGAGGGCAGGCAGTTGTATCACCACTCGCTGCTGCAGGGCGGGGACTCCACTCTACACACTCTCACCCCCTCCCTGACCGGGTTAACGCCGCAGCACATCGCACATCAATGATGCACCGCATCCCACCTTGATGCACTGCATCCCACCTTGATGCACCGCATCCCACCTTGATGTACCCGAGGCGGTACGTCTGGTGGATCTTGGACTGCAGGTTAGCGTCGGGGATGGGGATCGCCTCTCTGTACACCACCTGCTGCTGCACGAACTGCCGGTGCTGCTGCCGACAGGGGAGGTCGGGGTCGTCTGGGGGAGCGGGGGGAGGGAGAAGGATGGCGGGAGGGGGGGTTGGAGAAGGCGGATGGGGTGGGGAAAGGGGGTTGGGGGAGGGTTGGGGCAAGAGGTGATCGGAGCACCCATGAGGCACAAGTGAGGGATGAGGCACAAGTGAGGGGTGAGGCACAAGTGAGGGATGAGGCACAAGCGAGGGATGAGGCTGGTGGCAGGCAGCGAGGGGGGGATGGAGAGTGCTCATGGGTGCAGAGATCTGCAGGCTAAGTGCCGCGCGTGCACTGCTGCATGGCAGGGCATCACCACTCTCCCTCGCCCCACTCACACTCCAGCGCGCCTATGACGTCCAAAATGGCATCGTGTGCGAAGAGCAGGTCGAACAGCTGCGAGTCGTTCAGCAGCACTGGCAGTGCAGACGGGGAGGGCGGAGGAGGGGGGAAAGAATGGGGGAAGTGGCACGAGAAGAGGAGTTTGTGAGAGAGGGAGGAAAGAGGGTGGGGGGAGGGAGGGAGAGAGAAATAGGAAGGGAGGATGAGAACTGGTGAGTGGCACGGCGGAAACAGACAGGCCCATTGCAGCAGTGCAGTACAGTACAGTGCAGTGCAGTGCAGGTGCATCATCCCACCGAGCCCTTTGAAGACGTGGTAGAGGTGGTGCAGGGCGGCCGTGTCTTGAGCCTCCTCACACGCACGGAAGAGTGCCAGCAGCCGCGGCACGTAGCCCTGGGGGGGTGCCACGGGGAGCAGAGGAGGTGCGGGGAGAGGTGACTAGTCGGGGATTGGAGGAGGGAGGAGGGCGAGGACGGTATAGAAGGAGGTGGGATGGACAGCAGAGGGAACACGGCTCCAGCACAACAACAGTGGTGAGATGGTGAGGTGGTAAAACTGTGAGATTGTGACACGGTGGTACAGAGAGACACAAGGATAGCGGGGCGAGAGGTGGAGGGGTGAAGCATAGAGGGCGGAGGTGGTGAGTGAATCACCTCGCGGAGGATGAGAGACGCCATGCGGTCCCGGTGGAAGGGCGACACGTCCGTCACCAACTGCAGGAACACGTGGGGGAACGAGCGGATCAGAGTGAGGGGAGGAAAGAGGAAAGTAGTACGTGGAAGGGAGAATTGTTGTCAGGGGAGAAGGGGAGAGGAAAGGCTGGGAGGAAAGGTGTGAACGCGACAAGCTTACGACCCTTGCTGTGTGGCCCACACCCACACCCACACCCACACCCACACCCACACCCACACCCACACCCACACCCACACCACACCCACCTTGACAATGGCGGGCAGCGTGCGCATCTCCACAGCAGGCAGCTCCGATGAGTCCTTGGCGATCTCCGTCGCTGCAGGGGAGGGGGGGACGTGAGCGCGCGTGAGAAGGTGCAGGGTGGGTGAGGAGCTTACAGGAAAACAAGGTAAGTCAAGCTGCTGCAAAGAGCGCAGATGCCTTACCGAGGACGGAGGGCAGCTGAATCTGCCGCTGCACGTTGCAGATCTGGTCCCTGCCACGTGGAGAGCAGGCAGAGAGCACGCACGCAGGGCAAGCAAACACAGGGCAGCAGGCGGTCAGCGAGCAGGAGGACAGACGATGAGAGAGCGTTCATTGATGGGCAGATCAACGGCTGAAAGCATTGTGCAATCGAAAGGTGCGGTGCAACAGCCGACTAAAGCAAACATATTACCAGATATAGGCGCACCCCATGCTCTCCTGGAAGCTGAGCGCCAGGTCTGTGGCCACCTCGGGATCGGTCCACGAGATGATCGTGTCTGGGGGTGGGAGGGGGGAGGGGGGAGGGGGGGGGGGAGGGGGAGGGGGAGGGGGAGGGGAGTGGGCCTGGTTTGTTGTGACTTGGGGGTGAGGAGCAGGAATCTGGTCAGTGGCCACCTCAAGGTCTGCCACGATTTCTGGGGGGGTTGGTGGGGGGGAGACAGGAGACGAGTGACGGGAATGGGGAATGGGGAGGGTGGGGGGGAGAAGGGGGAGGGCACATGAGATAACGAGAAACGGGCAGAGTCTGTGGCCGCCTTGGGAATGATGGTGTCCAGAGGAAAAGGGGGATAGGGGTGGGGGGGACAAGTGGGGACATGGTTTATGGGCAGTGGGGGATATGGGCAGTGGGGGATATGGGCAGTGGGGGATATGGCCAGTGGCCAGTTATCCGCTGTGCATCTGACTCGCGTGCTGCGATGCGACGTACCTTCCTGGCGCTGGTAGATGCCTGACCTTCCTGGCGCTGGTAGATGTCATCAGTGGAGATGCGGTGCACGAGCAGCGTGGCGTTGTCGTCCTCGTCGATCACCACCAGCCCGATGGCGTCCGACCGCTGCCATCAACCACCCGCCGCGAATACGATATCACATCACATGGCGGCACGCACAGGGAGAGAGGGGGGAGTCGGGTATTAGGGCGGTGCGCGAGGTGCGGGGATTTTATCCTGCGGAAAGAATGACAGAGCGCTGAGGCGCTCAGATCAGCTCTTCGCCTTCCCCAGTGCTTTCCGCCTGCGCCTCACCTCGAGATACTCGACGGAGACGTGGCCGGTGCCCTTGTCGTCCCACTTGCCGTCGTCGTTGAGGCGGTACACTTTCACGCGCTGCACGCAACCGCCGCCACGCACGCGCGGGAGGGGACGCACGGATTGCACGCCAACGGGAAAGGGGATGGGGGAACTCGCTCCCGCTTGGAAAAAAACACAAAAGCGAAGAAATGTCCTTCAAGGGGGGGAAGAAGGGGATGCGCGGATCCGCTACGCGCGGGGAAAGGCTTGGTACGAGGAAGGGGCTGCGTAAGACTGAGGCGAATGCTTCGCGATGCGAAGTAACTATCTTGAATACAAAGCGCATTCTTAAACAGCAGAAGTTATGTCTTCGACGAGTAACAGGCGCAAATCAATGAATACCTAAAAGCATCCCCATTAAGTCTTTAACTACGTGGGTCAAGTGGGACATGAGCAATGGAATAGAATGCCATATTCTCCTCGAAGCCATCTATCGCCGAGAACCGCCGCGCATACTACTGAACCGCGATGGCGGATACGTCAAACGGCTAGTCAAGGGTGCGGCGTCGCGGTACACGAAATACAAGCCTCTGGCCCTTTCTCATCAACGAAGGCTATCTAGCAGTGTGGATACAGACTGTATCCAGTACGAATGATACGCCAAGCGGGAATCACGCGCGAGGTATCGCGAGACTGTCTATCGCGCTGGATGCGTAGCGCATTTCACTTAGCCTAATCTTAATCAGACTTGACGGCTCAGTTCTGCGAAACGTGCCTGAAGGTAGTTGTACTCCATCTTCCCGCTAAACTGCTGCTGCGGCGCATGCTGAGTCGGATGCGCCTCCGCATCTCGCGGCGCGTGTATGTCCGAGTCCACGAGGAGAGACGGCTCCAACTCCTGACCAATCAGCGTTCCCGACATCCTCAGCTTCAAAAACGAGTCGGCACTGATTTCAGAAACGCGAGAGAACGCCGTGCGGACGAACCCATGCGCCGCGAAAGGCCTATGATATTAGAAATAAGATTATTTCAATCTGAACCGGCTCGATTGTGCAAGGCGAGAGGGTGATCCGTGGACGGCTGGCGTGAAACGCGGGGACACGGCTAGCTTGAAACACGGAGCAGATGGAGGAAATGTGAGGCAGGTGAGGCAGGAGGCGGGGAAAGAGGAAAAGCGGGAGGCAAGGCAAGCGAGGCAGAGGGGAGCACGGGTTTGGCTCAGCAGTGCGGCGATCGGCACGAAACACGTCGCACGCTGGGCCCTCTGCCTTGGGCTTGGTTTGTCTCGTTGGCCTAGGGATCTCCAGATTGGGAGAAGGCGACTATGGTGAGACACCAGCCGATGTGACTATAGCACAGGGGCCAGCGAGTTGTGAAAGATTTGAAACGCGCAAGACGACAAACTGTCCAGATCAGCGAGGGCTGGAAAAGGAGCGGGCATCAATTAAGCCTATAACGAGGATGGAGGACCTTTGCTGCTGTATCGCTTTGTGTAGATTCGCACAATTTTAAGCCTCAAAGCTTAAAGCGGATAGTTCACAATCCGGTACAACTTCACAAGCTCCAGATCGTGTCCTGTGAACACAGGACAGGAGCCACGGTCCCAGCCCCGCATGGCGTCATGCTAGCTGTGATTTAGGTGGCCTTACCTCACACGGGGTCTGCTGATATCGCACCAGATGCAGCAGAACTAACACGGGCATGATGACTATTCAATCACTAGTGCCACGGGAGAGGCGATCTGCGCGCTGGGCAATTGTCCTTACGACAGTAGACATATCGAGCCGTAACGAGGGCGAGTCAAGGGCCGCCGTGACTCCTGGCGCGTTGGTACATCGTGTGGTTTACGATATCGCGCACCTCAATCCTTGCGCTCTATTCTCCTCGAGCTCCGACCATGGCTGAAGAGAGCAAACCCTATCGCGTTCTGGTGAGTTCTCGACGTGCCGCTGGCTTTCAACGCTCTCGACGCTCGCCGCTCGGCGCGCATCATCGCAACCGCTGCTTTTCGACCTCGTTTGACGAACGCTTACTTGGAATTGCTCTTTTCTGTCTCGTGCACGGATGGGTGCCATGCGAACCAATCATTAATCAGGAGCGAGGCGACATCTTCTTCTTCTACCGCCCTAAAGTGAATCGCGAGGAGGCCCATAGCGTGGACGAAGTGCAGCGCTTCTACATGCTGCTCCGGCCGCTGGCCGACGGGGAGCGCGCGGATAATGTCGGGGGCGGGGGGGTGGCGGAGGACGCGGAGGGGGAATTCAAAGGGGACACGGGGAGAGAGCAGCTGGGGAAGGCGCAAGGGAGAAAAGAGGAGGGAGCGGAGGGAGAGGATAGGCAGGTGGCGGAGGAGAAGGGAGTGGGGGGAAGAGGTGAAGGGCATGGTGCAGGTGTGACACGGGAGGTGGAGGGGGAGCAGGAGGAAGGACGGAAGAGGGCGAGAGGGGAAGGTGAGGGAGATGCAAAGGGGGAGGCAGAGGGGGAGGGGTCAAGGAGGAAGCAGGTGAAGACAGAGGAGGGGGTGGAGGAGGAGGGGGTGGAGGAGGAGGGGGTGGAGGAGAGGAAGCACAGCAAAGAAGAGAAGGAGGAGCAGCAGGAGGAGCAGGGCGCGGCAAAATGGGCGGGAGGGGGTGCGGAGACAGAGGAAAGGGCAGATGAGGAAGGCGCGGAGGGGGAAAGGGCGGAAGACAAAAGGCCTCCCCTGCGCCTGCTGGTGGTGGGGCGCAAGCTGCTGCCTGACCCTTCGCACCGCTCTCGACCGCACTGGGGCTATGTGGATGCGGTGTCTCACAACGTGGAGGAGATAAAAGAGGCACTCAAGGGAGGTGGGGCGGTGCATGTACAAAGGTTGAACAAATTTTAACGAACCCCCCTGCATGTCCCCTTTCCTTCTCCAAACCAACCCCAACGTTCTTAAACCTCCTCCCTTCACCTCCCCACCCTTCTCAGAGACCTATGAGACCAAGACACGTGGCACACGGCATTTGGCAGCTGCACGGGTGGCTGCAGCAGGGCGATACCTGATCGTGAGCCACGTGCTGGGGGACAGGGGAGGCGGGGGAGAGCCGAGGAGCAGCAGGAAGGCGCACACGCACCTGGTGTACTCTCTCAGATGGCCCGAGGCAGAGGGCGGAGAGGAGCAGGCAGGGGGGAAAGAGGAGGTGGAGGGGGGGGAAGGGGGGGGAAAGGGAGAGAAGGAGAATCGGGGAGGGAGCGAGGGGGGCAGAGGGAAGGGCGCCGGGCAGGAAGAGGAGGAGGAGAGCCCTCAGGAGGCGTTCAACATAGAGAGGGAAGCTTCCTACGTGCTGCAGATCAAGAACCCCGAGACTGCCACCACCCAGAGTGCCTCTTTCAACCGCCCCTCTGTCCGCCTCGAAGCGTTCCCCCTCCCTTTGCAGCACCGCCTGAACGGCCTCCGCTTCGCCCCCGCTGACCCGCCGGGCTTCCTCAACCACCCCGGGTGCGAGGTGCTGCTCATTGCCGCCTCAGATGACCTAAAAGGGGAGCTTGGACGGGAGATCGAGGGGGATTTGGCGGTGGGGAGGAGCGAGGGTGCGGGAGGTAGGAAAGAGGGAGGTGGGGGAGGAGGGGAGGAAGTGGGAGGTGAGGAGAGTGGGCATGGTAGTGGGTGTGAAGGTGACGAGTGGATGGGGTTTGTGAGGGAGGGCCTGGGGTGGGAGAGCGAGCAGCTGCTGAGGCCGATGGAGGCAGGGGAGTGGGCATGAGGGATGGGGAGAGGAGCACTTGTTGATGGGTAGTGGTGGGGGCTAAATCCTGCCCCAAACCATAGTAGTGTTGATTTTGTTTGTGTTGCTGGAGAATCATATTTTCATGCCTAGCTCAGTGTGACTCATTTCTACCAAAAGACAGATTGACCACCACAATATTAAGGCCTAGAACAAAGAGATTCAGAACCCTGACGCAGCCAGGGAGCACTGCAAGCCAAGAACGTCCAGCACTGGTCAGGCACCCGGAACTCCAGCGTCATTGTGCACCGCCACGCTTGAGCCAATGCACGTACTCGCGCTGCTCCTCCTCCAGGTAGTACCTTCCTCCCCATCCCCCACCGCTCCCCCCATGTAACCGCATTTCCCCCACATCTCCTCTCCCCCTCATTTCTGCACCACGAAGGCCCCGAGCCTCTTGAGCCAGCGCACGTACTCGCGCTGCTCCTTGTCCTCCAGGTACCGCCGCAGGTAGTCCGCCAGCGCCGGGCTGAAGCCCCGCCGCCGCAGGAACGAGTCAAACTGCTCCTGCAGCACCGGGTCCAGCGTGCTGCCGCAGTGCAGGGGGGGGGGAGGGGAAGGGGGGGGGGGGGGGGGGGGGGGTGTTGATATTATTCAAGTGGGCGTTGGCCAGAGACGGGTCAACTGCTTCTACAGCACCAGGTGCAGGGTGCTGGTGGGAAGGTGGGGGGGAGGGAGGGGGGCGGGTTGATATGAGATGCAGATGGGGATTGCCCCAAGTAACAGCCAGCGCCGGGCTGAAGCCACAGCCCTGCAGAAACGAGTCAAGTGCTCCTGCAGCACCGGGCCCAGGATGCTGGGAGAGTGCGGGGAAGGAAAGGGGGGGCGGAGAGGGGGAGGAGGGCGCGCTGGCGGGAGGATGGAGGGGGGAGAAGGGGAGAGGAGAGCGGTGATGGGGTTGGCAAGGTGCAGGCCACCTTGGACAGGGGGAGAGCGCGTAAGCAAGCGAGCAAGGAGGTGGGGGAAAGCAAGCTGCTGGGGACGCCATGAGCCATGAGCCGTGAGCCATGAGCCATGAGCCATGAGCCGTGAGCCGTGAGCCATGAGCCATGAGCCATGAGCCATGAGCCGTGAGCCATGAGCCGTGAGCCATGAGCCATGAGCCGTGAGCCGTGAGCCATGAGTCATGAGCCATGAGCAACTCACTGGAGGACTGGTTCGGATTAGGGCGAAGCAAGAGTGCAAGGGAGCGGTGTGTGGGGGGGGCGAGGGGAGAGGGGGAAGGGGAAAGCGGAGGTGAGGGAGAGAGGGAGTCCGAGGAGCAGATGGAGGGGGCGCAGGGGGTGATGGGGGCGCGACTCACGAGAACTGCGGGCCGCCATAGGGACTCACGAGAACTGCGGGCCGCCATAGGGACTCACGAGAACTGCGGGCCACCATAGGGACTCACGAGAACTGCGGGCCGCCATAGGGACTCACGAGAACTGCGGGCCGCCATAGGGACTCACGAGAACTGCGGGCCGCCATAGGGAATGCCGTCCTCAGGCACCTCCGCGTCCTCCAGCCGCACGTCCTGAATAATCCAACTGTTGCCGTCCACCACGCAGTCGATCTCCAGCTCCGGCTGCTCCGCCTTCTTTGTAACGGTCACCCGCACGGACAGCGGCGTCAGGCGCTCCGCCTCCGCCTCCTCCTCCTCCTCCTCGCTCTCCCCCTCGCCCTCCCCCTCGTTCCCGTACGCGTCCTCGTCGTCAGCGAACGCCGCGACGACGGATATGGCCTCCCCCTGGTACGCCCTGCGCAGCACGGCGTCGATCGTGCCGCCCTGCTCCTCCACCGTCCACTCCGCGGGGGGGCCCTCCTTTAGATCCTGGGGGGAGAGGGAGGGGCGGAATCGGGAAGCGGGGCGAAGGGGGGAGGGGAGGGGGAATGGGGGACTGGGGATGGGGGGATCGGTGAGCGGGAGATGAGGGGAGGCGGAGGAGGAAAGGGTGATTACGAGATGCACGAAACCCCGATTCAATGATTCCGATCCTCCACGCACTCACCTCGGGCGGCTCGTAGTCCTGCTCCTCGTGCTCCAGCTCCGCTTTAAGAACCTTCAGCAGCCCCGCGTCGCTCGACGACGTCGCGAACCCTCGCGCCGCAAACGACGGGTGGATCCAACGGCTGCGATTGCAACCTGCCAGCAACGAGGCTTTCCCGCTGGTCGATCCGAAAACGGGGGCGATCTCGGGAGTGCAGGACGGGAGGCGCTGGCTGCTGAAATGGTGGAGGCGCCTCGAGGGTGCCGCTGACGAGATCCGACGGCTGCTGCGAGTCACCGCGCTCAGCGATCTGGTTACCACTCCGCGATACATGGTGGCGAAATGAACGGCGGGAGATGGATTGAATGGAGAGATCCGACGTGCAGGGTTGGTGGAGGTATCGAGGAGCGGCAGAGATGGCCGGAGCGGTAGACGTGGAGAGCACGCTAGCATGGATTGGATTGGAGTGATGGGGAGGAAAATGCACGAGTTGAGGAGGAATAATGGTGGTGCGACTTATTAGGGGTGTGCCTGCAAGAAGGTCAGAAAGATACTGCGCTCGTTTCCTCAAATAAAAGGATGTGTGATTAGTGCGAATGACTATTTAATGACCTCCAAAATACCTGAAGTTGTATGGTTCAATCTGAGCATGTACTGACTTTTACTGTACAGTATCACCTCAATTTTTTTTCGCAAGGAGGCTGGCGATTGCCACGTGGACAAATAAGAGCAAGCCAAGCGCATGCACCAGTCGGCTCCTCCTGGTGTCGCATTTCGCCGTGCTGGAGCGGCTCGATGTCGATCGAGATGCATTCAAAGGCGGGGCGAATCGATCGAAATTTGCGCCCGCCTTTCGGACACAGCCCACCGCGCTTTTCTCCACACCAACAATCCCCCTGAAAGACCCTTGCTGGTCTTTCTCCACCGATTCTAGTGATATAACGATCCTAGTTTCACGACTTGAGACGATATTTCGGTAGCCTCTCTGCAAACTTGGCACTCGCTAGCATCGATCCCCGAAGAGATAACAGTCGTCCCCATGGCGTCCCGCCCGGCTGACAGCTCAGCATCCGACCCAACAGAGCCATCCTCTACAAGCACGCCGACAAAGACCATGGCAGCGCAGCGCCAAGGCTACTGGGCGCACGTTTTCGATAGAAGCACGTTCGGGACTCGCGGGGAGGTCTGGGTGCCGCTTCAGCTGCTCGCCATGGCGCTCGTCTTCTTCCCGCTCCCTGACTGGCTCGTCGCCGACAAGCTCGGCCTGCCGCTGTCCTTCTGCCCATCTTACAGCGTCCGCGAGGGCGCGTTCGTAGCAGGAGTCCCACTGCTCGTGCTGAGCGTGTATCTGGGCCTCGCTGCCTTCAACGACCTCGCAGGCAGCTTCTCCCCCTTCCCCAAGCCGCGCGCTGACGGGGGGCTGAAGACGGGCGGCGTGTACCGGTTTGTTCGCCACCCCATGTACGCGGCGGCCGTGCTGCTGTCCACGGCCGTGGCGTGCGTGACGTGCAGCACGGCGCGGCTGGTGGCAGCGGGCGCCATGGTGGTGATCCACGACGCCAAGGCGCGCGTGGAGGAGAGGCACTTGAGGGAGATGTTTGGGGCAAGGTACCTGAGCTACATGAAGAAGGTGAAGCGGTTCGTGCCGCTCCTGTACTGAGCACGAGGATCACAAGACGATTCGTTCATTTGGTTTTGAGATCTGCTGGCCTGCTATGGTTTCTAGGAGATCCGATGTTTGTATAGTTTCTCTACCTTATGCATTCCCGTGCCATGCGAATGCAAAGCACAAGTTACCGTACCAACCAAGCATCAGGGCCTGGGGAGGACAGGACGCATGAGATGAATCGCCACTCCACCTGCCTTGCACCATTGCAGACCTCACCAAACTGCAACACGGAGTTACTGACTGTCAAATGCTCACTCTCCTGGCTCCGAGCTTTCAAGAATATCCCCGGCACCTTCAGAGGCAGGCTGCAAGCCCACGCCTCTCTCCATCCACGCACAGATCAGTGGCACTGACCACCTCGCGCCTATCACCCAGAGCTCCATGTCCGCCGCCCTCTCACACCCCACCACATGCCGCGGCACACACGCCACGTCCATGCGCCAACCCACCAGCTGCTCCCCCTTCCCCTCGTCCGCTTCCTCTTCCACTCCCCCACCCTGCCACCCACCCTGCCACCCGCGTTGCCGCACGCCCTGCCGTGCAACCTGCTGCTTATCGTCCTCTCGTCCGTCCGCCTCCTCGTCGCCCTTTCCTCGCCCCACTGCCGCCTCTGCTGCGCTACAGTGGCTGCCCCTGTGGCAGCTGGGCGCGGCAGTTTGAGCGGCGAAGTGGGAGCGGAATGCGGCGTAGCCGTTGGCAACGGGTGCGAGGTGCGAGAGAGAGAAGTTGAAGCGCTTCTCCAGGGCCAGCAGGAGCAGCTGGTAATTGGGGGAGGTGGGGAATGCAGTGCAGGGAGAGAAGGTTGGTTGCAGGGGAGGTCAGAGAGAAGGCAATGAGACAGTGGGGGCATGAGTGGGTGCAACATGAAGGGGTGATTGAGGTACTACAAGCGCTGGCCAAACCTGTGAGAGCCGCACTCTGTAAAAAGAAACAAAGTTAAGAGGAACCTTGGGTGGGGTTCTGGTGGGAGGGGTTGTGGAGGCACCTCGGGTGGGGCGCAGTGCAGGAGGGAGCGCAGGGTAGAGAAGAGAGCAGCAGTGATGTCGTCACTGTAGATGACATCAGCAGCCAGCAGCACCGTGGCATGGCTGGCGTCGGTCAAATCCCCGTCGGTCCAAACAAATGGGTCGGCTGCTCCATTCGATTCTGCCTGCATGCCCGATGCACTTTCCTCCTCCTCGCCGCTGCCCGCCCCACACGCTGCTGGCTGCTGCGCACAGCCCCTGGTCACCACGGGAGGCGGCCACCCCAGCCGCCAGTCAAGGCGCCGAACCACGGGTGCTGCCGAGTGCATGCCGCATGGCGGGCGAAGCATAGGTGCGTTGGCGGCATTGGCGGCACAGTTGCGCAGCACAGGGTCGCCTGTGTCTGGAGGGGGGGGGCACACATGCAGTAGAAGCGAGGAGTGAGGGAGGCCATGCGAGGAGATGCCACGTGGAAGCTGGGAAGCATTGCAGCGACAGGTGATGGGTGCCTTCATGGTATGGCATGGCATGGCATGGCATGGCATGGCATGGCATGGCGTTATACCTGTGAGGAAGACACGGCGGGCGAAGAGAGCAGCGACGACGCCCACCATGCCTGCACGCACAGCCAGAGGGGCGCCATGGTCAGGGCGGAGAGCGGCAGGCGGGCGCCACAACGCACCACGCAGTATCCACCATGCAACACGACCCATTTGCCCTTCGCTCACCCGTGCCCGCCCCCAGCTCAAGCACTGTAGCATCTGCGAGCATGTGATGGTTGGCAATGATGACGTCAGCCAGGAGGAGCGAGGCGCGCCACACCTGCCGTGGGAAACGGCGGGGGAGGAAGGAGGGGGGGGGGGAGGAGAGAGAGAGAGAGGGCGGCAGATGGAGGGCAGGGGGGTGCGACGCGGTGTGGATTGAAGCTAGAGCTGTACAAGGGGAAAGGGGCCGCCAGGCATGTTAGCTGGCCGCCAGGCACGTTAGCTGGCCGCCAGGCACGTTAGCTGGCCGCCAGGCACGTTAGCTGGCCGCCAGGCATGTTAGCTGGCCGCCAGGCACGTTAGCTGGCCGCCAGGCACGTTAGCTGGCCGCCAGGCATGTGGTGAAGGGGGCAGGGCATACCTGCATGCCGACATGGGCGATGGTGGTCTTCATGCCATGCCCTATCGCCACCGCCACATGCATCCCACCGCCCTCGCTCCCTTCCCTCCCCTCTCCACATTCCTCCGCTCCGCCTTCTCCCACCACCGCGCCCCCCTCCCCTCCCCCCCTGCCGCTGCTCTCTTCCCACCCCCCGCCTTCATCCTCCCCTGCCCCTGCCTCCTCTGCTGCGCCACGTGCCAGTGCTGCTGCTGGCACGCGGGCAGCAGGGTCTGTCCTGCCAGCACAAGAGGGGGCGCCGATAAGAGAGGGGGGGCGATAAGAGAGGGGAGGAGAAGCGAGCAGCACGGTGAGCGGCGCCTCAGCAGCACACGAGCAACGCGGAGCGTCAGCAGACTCACCCCCCTATCCGACACAGACAGCGCGTCCTGTTGGCACCAGAGGGGGGAGCAACGCGAGTGGGGGAAAGAGGAGAGCGGCGCGGGTGGAGGCGCGTCAACACAGGGAAGACTACCCATTCTTTCGTCTCCCCTACCCACCGCCTTCTTCCCATGGCCCCATGCCCCCATTCCCATTCCCACCCATACACTCGCCCTCACCTCCTCGCCCCTCACCTCCTCGCCCCTCACCTCCTTTACTCTCACCAGCGCCATCATCACCAACCCCCGCGCCGCCTGCTCTCCGCCGTTTCCGCCGCGCCAAGATCAGATCGCCCTCCACATCCACCGCCACTCGCATCCCCCCCTGCCCGCTCCTCTCGTCGCCCTCCCCTTCTCCCCCATCACTCCTCTCCGCCTCCCCGCTCCACTCCTCCCCCGCCTCTCGCGCACCCCCCCTCCCCCTCCGCTCCTCCCCCTCCTCCCCGTCCGCTGCCTCCGGTCCCCAACGCCGCGCCTTCCCCGCCATGGCCGCCTCCGCAGCAGGGGGCAGGCGGAACGTGAAGGTGCTAACGGTGCTGACGTGGTGCGAGGGGCATGCCACGTGGACCTCGCTCAGCACCAGGTAATCCTCTTCCTCGTCATTCCCCTCGTTACTATCACCATCACGTTTCCCCTCGCGCCTTTCCTCCTCCACGACTTCCACAGCATCCTCATTCGTGGAAGCTTCCCCACCATCATCATGCCCCTCCGCGCCACATTTTTCCACGTCGTCGCGATCAGTAACGCCGCGCGTGCGGGTCTCTCCGCGAGCCCCTTGCGCGAGCGGGGCGCCTTCATTTTCCGCCATTGCGGGTCTCGGGCCGCACTTCTCGGCTTCCCCTCCCCCTAAAAGTCGCGACGCCCCATATCCCGCATCTCGCCTCGAGCCAGCCTGTCCACGTGGACGTTAGGTTAATCACGCCGCGAATTGGCGCTGTAGAGTATCCTACGGCAGCGGAACGGAAGGCGATAGGGGCGGTGATGGCGGGTAATGCCGGGGACAGCAGAAAAAGCAGCGGGATGGAACTTGCCCCGATTGAGGGTCACCCGGTGCACATTCGTCTGTCACCCACAACTGTAGAGGTTACACTACTAGTATGTTGGCTTTCACATAAAAAATAACAATCGCCACGAGCTAACGTCAAGGTGAATACGGCAAATCGCATTACCGGTACCACTACATGCATATTCCAAAAATGCTAGCAATATAACACGGAAATGGCCGCGACGAGTACCAATTGGACGAGCAGAATTAGAGAGCTCAATGCAGTCTTCTCTGCGACCTTTGGAGGAGAGCCACTGCTGTCCGGCGTGGCTGGAGATGGAGATGGCGGGCCTTGATTGTTCACTGCGTTAGGTACTCCAGCGTTGATGCTGCCACCGCTAGATGCCCCACAAGCATTGGGGTCCAGTATCCGGCCGACATAGGGCGCGAGAAGAGGGTCCTTCTTGAAGTTGCAGCCCGGGGTGTTGGTGAACGAATCGCAGCACACGGGCTTGGGGGGAAGGGCCTTGGGACCATTGTAGCACCCCGACGCCCCCTGCGCAACAAGAGGGTTGTTTTGTCAGGGCGGGTGTTGTTGGCGTAGCCACAGGTGATCAAATAAGGATTGTAACTGTTGTTGTGGTTACCTGTGGGAAGACGTTGACGGTGACGTTGATGCCGCTGAAGCGGGCGAAGAGCAGGCTGAAGACGAGCTTGATGAACACGTCCTTGTTGCTCAGCAGACTGCCCAGCGTCGCCTGCCCCATCACTGCCATGCCATGCCATGCCATGCCATGCCATGCCATGCCACCCCATGTCATGCCATGAGGGGAAGCAATGTGAGGCACGCAAGCAGGTGCAAGCATGGGTTCAGCTGCAGCACCAACCCAGCGCATGCATGCCGCTCTAACGCCTCAACAGCCCTCCACAGCTAACCCTCCCCCGTCTATCCACGTCCCCCCCCCTCTCCCCTCCCCTCCCCTCTGACTGCTCCCCATTCCTCTTGTCTTACCTCCTCTCTCTTCCACAACCCCCAAACCCACACCCCCCCCCTCTTCATCCTTGCACGTACTGGGCACGTCCTTGCAGTCATTGAATACGCTCGTGGCGTACGCGTCGCACACGGCCAGCACGCCAGATGTCGCTGACGAGGCATTCACATACGTGCCCGCATCTGGCGCAGCAGAGGGGAAGCGCGAGGACAGGTGGGGTTGGGGGCCGAAGGGGAGCGGGATGGCGATCAGACCAGAGAATAGGGATGGGCATGGCAAGGGCATAGGGTGACCCTGGCAGCATGGCAAGCGATGGAGTAGACTATGGGCATGGAGGCATGGGGCCATGGGGACAGGGGCATGGGGGCAGGGGAATGGGTCATGGGAGCATGGGGCATGGGCATGGGGGCACGGGTGGCGGGGCGCGCGGTACCGGGGTTGCAGGTGATGGCGCAGTAGAGCTGCTCCAGGTCGTAGCTGCACGCGTCGAACCCCTTGAACATCGCGCATTGCTGCGGGTGGGGAACGGGTGGGGGGGGACGGGGATGAGGTTGGCGGCTTCCATACACGTTCGCGCACGCACACGCTATGTCACCCGCGAGTGCCCACGCTGCGCTCAGCCGTTCAGCCTCGCTGCACTCCCCTGCACGACCCGCTAGTAGTCACCTGCACGACGCGCTGCACTCACTTTCTCACTCGCGCTACTGCGACCTGCTCGACCCGCAAAAGTCACCTACGTGTCCTCGCTATAGTCACCTGCGTGTCCTCGCTATAGTCACCTGCGTGTCCTCGCTATAGTCAGCTGCGTGTACTCGCTATATTCAACTGCGTATCCTCGCTATAGTCAACTGCGTGTGCTCGCTATAGTCAACTGCGTGTCCTCGCTATAGTCAACTGCGTGTGCTCGCTATAGTCAACTGCGTGTCCCAGCTATAGTCAACTGCGTATCCCCGCTATAGTCAACTGCGTGTCCTCGCTATAGTCAACTGCTTGTGCTCGCTATAGTCAACTGCGTGTCCTCGCTATAGTCAGCTGCGTGTGCTCGCTATAGTCAACTGCATGTCCTCGCTATACTCACCTGCGTGTGCTCGCTATAGTCACCTGCACGTCCTTGTTGCCGATGATGGTGACGATCTCCGGTTTGAGCATCTCCAGCACCACCGTCTGGTTCGCCGTCAGCCCGTGCAGCGAGTTGCTCGCGTCGGTGCAGTCCGCGCAGCACGCCCACGCCGCCGCGTCCACGCACCGCGTCATCGTCACGTTCGGCTTCGCTGGCCGCTGCTCCGTGAACGGACAGGGCGGGTAGGCTTGCGGGCTGGCCTTCGCGCTGACGTGGCGGGTGACGTGGCATACGAGGGGGAGAAACAGCAGGAGGGGCGGCAAGAGGTGGTGACGCGAGAGAGCGGATCGTCTACTATGGAGCGCCATTGCGACGGTGGCGGCGCTCTGTACGACAAGCGAGAGGTGAAGTCGCGTTGAGCGACGGCGAGCGCGGGTTCAGGCGGCTACGAGTGCGGACGCGAGTGAGGCGAGCAGGTGGCGCCCAAAGGCTAAGCGGACACAACACGGTGAGCGGCCCTGGGCGGCATGCGCGTAAGGGCGAATCGAAATCGCTGTCGCGATGCACACATTGGGTGAAGTCTACAACACAAAGCGGAGTTACTAGACTGGGGCCCGCTGGCTAACTGGATATAGTTAGGAGGCAGTGGAGTGGAGTGCAGTCAAGAACAGACAAATCTGTTGATGCAGGCAACTGCCACTCTGTCTGTGCTAGGCCGTCTCCCGCTGCCCAGCAGCGCGCACGACCACGCGCTCGCTGTGCGCTCGCCTCGTGTGCCTCCGCTCCGCATTGCCACGATAATTGCTTGAACGGTCCAGATTTCGTCTGGTCGTCTAATGCGCGCTGCTTTTTCCGATGGGGGTTGGGGGAGCTCCATCGAGCAGTGGGGTGGGGTTGGGTTGGGGGAGAGCCAATGGAGACCAAACTTGTCTCCGCCGGGGAGGGGAGGGGTCGCGCACACCTGGTTTCCCCTCCGCACTTGCTTCGCTGCTCCGCTGGAGTGTGCCGCCGCGGCGCAGATGTTCCTTCGTGGGGGAGGAGGAACGCGCCTATGATTGGCTCGTCTCGTATACGGTGGTGCGGTGATGTTTGCGGTTATGGCTGTGAGGAGGTTCATCTGACGTGTCACCGACAAGCGGTTCGGGACGAGTGATACTATCGGTAGGGAATTGTTGTGCGATTTCAGGGGTTTACGGTAATAAACATAAGTTTCTGAATATTCTTACTTCCGGATTATCGAGTCACCACAATGGAGGATTCTCAATGGGACCACTGGAATTCCCGATGAGTTTCGACGAAGTCTGGCCCTTCCCACGTGGCTGGATAGACAGCAACATCCTGCGAGGGGAAAGCAGCGCGGAAACAAAAGGTCGCGCTCCAGTTCACGATCCGTCCCAGTTGCGCTCCACGTCGGCTTTTCCGCGCCCCAAAGCAGCACATCGGCGACGCGCGTGTCACCCGTCACTCGCGCGTAACCACATCGCTGCTCCAAGTGCTCGCCCGATTGGCTGCTGGCTCCCTCAACAAGATCTGCCGAGCCGTGGGTTGGTAGAGGCTGAGCTGGCTCGGCGGTTGCAGCCGTAACACGTCATCGCACGGGCGGTAACTCCCTCGCACAACGTCGCCCAATGTCATCTCGTTTGTTCGGCTCGCTGCGATAAATCCGTGCTCTTCTCATTTGATGCTTCATCTTTCTTATTTCCCATCAACCGCTTCAGCCGTCTCGCGCGGAACATTTCCTGCCGCACCTCGAGCTTGTTTGTTCAAGGGACTGCTGGGGTCGTTGTTCGCCTTCGCGCGACGTCCAACGCAGCTAATTGACGCTTTTCTTTCGCCCGCGTTGGCACCCTCAGCAGCAATTCGGACGATGGCGTGCTCCGTGTCTGCTCGCGCCGCCACACAGCAGCCGCTCGCTTCCGTCAGCAGAGCCGTCGCCGTCGAAGCCACGTCGTCATCGCGCGCGGCGTTCCTCGGCAGCGATGCGGCGACCATGCGCCGCCTCCGCAAGGCGGCTGCGCGGTCGAAGAGGGGGAACCGGTCGGCAGCCGCCAGAAGAATGCGCCTTCCGCCTGCGCGCGCGGCGCTGGCGGACGTGAAGCCCGCGGCGAAGCCGTCGGAGGAGATGGCGGTGGCGCACGAGGCGGGGGAGGAGGTGATAGCCTCCGCGGAGTTCCGCGCGCAGGCGCTCGTGAAGGACCAGGCGCAGGTGAGACTCGCGATCGCGCTAGTCGTGCTCTTCGAACTGGGAACACTCGATACAAGAACGCCCATCCCACACATGTAGGAACGTTACGAGCAGCGAGTGATGTGACGCGTCGTCGGTCGTCGTTGAGGGTTCTTTTCCTGGTGGGCGAAACCGCGCGGGGGGGACGCGTTTTGAGGTACCTCGGAAAGAAAAGCAAGGAGAACCATGTTGTGCCAATTCCCGTTCCTCTTTTACTCCCCCGTGTCATGTCGCGTTACAGTACGAGGAGATGTACCGCCGCTCCATCGAGCAGCCCGACGCGTTCTGGGCCGACATGGCGCGCCAATTCTATTGGCACACGCCCTTCCCCGAGTCGCCCGACGGCAAGGTGCATTCAGAGAACCTGGACGTGCGGCGCGGGCGCGTTAACGTGGAGTGGTTCAAGGGCGGCTCGACCAACATCTGCTACAACGCCGTCGACCGGTGGGTGGAGCGCGGGCTGGGGCAGCGCGCCGCGTTCTTCTGGGAGGGCAACGACGAGACGGACTCCGTCACGCTGACGTACGCGGAGCTGCTGGAGCGCGTGAAGCAGACGGCGGCGTATCTGCGGTCGCAGGGCGTGAAGCGCGGCGACTTCGTGACGATCTACATGCCCATGGTGCTCGAGTTGCCCGTCGCCATGCTCGCCTGCGCGCGCATCGGCGCCGTCCACTCCGTCGTCTTCGGCGGCTTCTCCGCCGAGTCGCTCGCGCAGCGCATGCAGGACTGCGAGTCGCGCGTGCTGCTGACGTGTGCCGGCACGATGCGCGGGTCGAAGCCCATCAAGCTCAAGGAGATCGCGGACGCCGCCATCGCGCTCTCGCCCGACCTCCATGGTGCGACTCGCGCGCCGTCACCCATTCCGGCATTGTCTGTTCCGTGGCTTTATTTCCCCCCACCCTTCCATTCTCGCGTCGCATTACTGCGCGTCCCCTAACCTCCGCCCTTCTTTCCTCGTCACTCCCCCCGCCCCCGCTTTTGGAGTGCAGTGGCGCGCGTGGTGGTGGTGGACAACCCGCCCGCCATGGCGCGAGACGCGGTCAACATGGTGGAGGGCAGGGACGTGTGGTGGCAGGACGTCATTGGCGGCGCTGACGTGGCGGAGGGCAGTGATGACGTGGAGTGGATGGACGCCGAGGACCCCCTCTTTCTGCTCTACACCTCGGGATCCACGGGCCGCCCCAAGGTGCGTGAGGGCCGCCCCAAGGTGCGTGAGGGCCGCCCCAAGGTGCGTGAGGGCCGCCCCAAGGTGCGTGAGGGCCACCCCAAGGTGCGTGAGGGCCACCCCAAGGTGCGTGAGGGCCGCACAATAACGAATGTTGGTAGGGAGGTGAAGGGACGAAGTTGACTTGGGCCACCGCTGTATGAAACTCACATCCTCGTCAACTTCAATATCCAGTGAGAGCCATCAATCAGCTCCCCCCTTTACAATCACCCATTCAATCAGCAGCAGCAGCAGCAGCAGCAGCAGCAGCATCCTTGCATTCATGCCCCCCGCGACAATTCCGCCTCCATGTATCCGCCCTCAGGGGCCGCCTCTCCATGGAGTCCCCATCCCAACCTCCCCCCCCTTGACCCCCTCAGGGCGTGGTGCACACCACAGGCGGCTACATGGTGTACGCAGCTGCCACCTTCAAGCACGCCTTTGACTTCAAGCCCAACGACGTTTACTGGTGCACCGCCGACTGCGGGTGGATCACCGGCCACAGCTACGTCGCCTACGGCCCGCTGCTCAACGGCGCCACCCAGGTGCGCCCTCCTGTCGTGTGGCACAACGTCCTTGCTTCCGCTGCCCCTCTCTTGCTCGCCCACCTCGCTGCATGTGCCTCGCACAGGCCCCATCCCCTCCCCTGCCCTCTGTGCGTGATGCTCATCAGGCATCCTCCGTCCGCCCATTCTCTCCCCCCCCCTCCTTAACAGGTGCTGTTCGAGGGCGTGCCCAACTACCCCGACTGGGGCCGCTGGTGGCGCATTGTGGACCGCTACGCCGTCTCCATCTTCTACACCGCGCCCACCGCCATCCGCGCCGCCATGCGTGGCGGAGACCAGGTGCGGGGACATCGGGGTGCAGTTGTAGAGTTATGGGGGGTGCGAAGGACGCAGTAGAGTTGCATAGCAGCCGCATCAGGTGCATACTCAAGGAGTTGCTGCTGATTCTCCCCCTCTGTGTGTCTCTCCTCCCCCTCGTCTCCCCCATGCCTCCGCGTCGACACCCTCTTGCCCCCTGCGATGTGTGCGCGCAGTGGGTGACGGCGTCACACCGCTCGTCGCTGCGAGTGCTGGGGAGCGTGGGCGAGCCCATCAACCCGTCCGCTTGGAAGTAAGGCGCTGCGCTGCACCCCGTCCACACATGCCGTGTCAGTCATGCCAATCCACCGCTAGGCCACATGCCGTGTCAGTCATGCCAATCCACCGCTAGGCCACATGCCGTGTCAGTCATGCCAATCCACCGCTAGGCCACATGCCGTGTCAGTCATGCCAATCCACCGCTAGGCCACATGCCGTGTCAGTCATGCCAATCCACCGCTAGGCCACATGCCGTGTCAGTCATGCCAATCCATCGCTAGGCCACATGCCGTGTCAGTCAAGCCAATCCACCGCTAGGCCACATGCCGTGTCAGTCATGCCAATCCACCGCTAGGCCACATGCCGTGTCAGTCATGCCAATCCACCGCTAGGCCACATGCCGTGTCAGTCATGCCCATCCACCCGTTCTTGTGACGTTCATACATCTCGTCACTGCCGGGTGCCAACAGGTTGAACGTGTATACCCTGCAAATCAAGAAACCATACATCAAAGGTTATACCATACTCCGGAGGTCATACCCTGCAATCGAGTCTCAACGCGTCCCTGCTCCCTACACCCCGCCTTCCTCCCCTCTCTTCCCTCCCCCTCCACCAGGTGGTACAGCGACGTGGTGGGCGACGGCCGCTGCCCCATCAGTGACACCTGGTGGCAGACCGAGACCGGCGGCTTCATGGTGAGTCGCGCTGTAGCGAGGATGAACACCATGGCATTTCATTTGTTATATTCATAGAAGGAATCTAAACGTTTGAGGAAAACATGGTAGCTCTTGGTTTTATAACCCTCTTTCAAACAAGACCCAACCTTCCCTCCCTCTCTCCATCCCTCCGTCTCCCCTTCCCCCAATCCTCCCTTCTCCCCCTTAGATTCTCCCCCTCCCCGGCGCGTGGGCGCAGCGGCCTGGGTCCGCGTCATTCCCGTTCTTTGGCGTGCAGCCGGCGATGGTGAACGACAAGGGCGAGGAGATAGAGGGGCCGGGCGAGGGGTACCTATGCATGAAAGCGTCGTGGCCGGGCATGTTCCGCACGCTGCAGCATGACCACGAGCGCTACGAGACCAACTACTTTGCGCCCTTCAAGGGCTTCTACTTCTCGGGGGATGGCTGCCGCAGGTGAGGAGTTGGATGGTTGTGGACGTTGATGAGCATTGCTAGAGCTGTGGTTGTGGGGCAGCCCTTTACACACCTCTTTTATCCTCGCCTCATCCCCCCCTTATTCCAGGGACGAGGACGGCTACTACTGGCTGACGGGGCGTGTGGACGATGTGATCAACGTGAGTGGGCACCGCATCGGCACAGCTGAGGTGGAGTCGGCACTCGTGGCGCACCCGGCGTGCGCGGAGGCGGCGGTGGTGGGGTTCGACCACGAGATCAAGGGGCAGGGCATCTACGCGTACGTGACGCTGGTGTCGGGCGTCGATTACGCCGATGACCTGCGCCTGGAGCTCGTCAGGGCCGTGCGCTCGCAGATCGGCGCCTTCGCGGCGCCGGACCACATCCACTGGGCGCCGCACCTGCCCAAGACGCGCAGCGGCAAGATCATGCGGCGCATCCTGCGCAAGATTGCGGCGCGGCAGGAGGACGAGCTGGGCGACATGAGCACGCTGGCGGACCCGTCGGTGGTGCAGCTGCTGCTGGAGCTGCGCGACTCAGACGACTGCAGCACGTGCGTGTTCGTGCCGCCCGTGGCAAGCGAGGAGGCGCGCGCGCAGGAGGCAGCGGCAGCCAAGGTGAACCTGGAGGTGGTGCACGACCACCTGCTGGAGGATGATGAGTGGCACGAGAGCAGTGGGACGGCGAATGGGGGCGTGAGGGAACAGAATGGAGCACTAAAGCAGTAGGGTGGATAATTACTGTAGGGGGGTTGTGTGGTGCTTGTTCTTGGTTGGTCAGTTAGCCATACTAGAGCATGCCTTAGGTTTGTGACTAAAGCTGTTTTTAGCACAAGCATGTGAAGCTCCTACAACCAGGACAACCTCATCCAATACAATCTGGGCCCTTGGTGTCAACTTATACATCTGCTTATATGTATAAGTAAGTATAGGTTAGATGGGTTTGTGTTAGAGGGTACAACTTCAACCCTAAATGTTGCTTGTACTGGCTTGATCTAGTTACTTGGCTACTCAGAGATGGTATCACACTAGGTAGGTCCCACTGACCCACGCTTCCGCCCTAGCCTCCCGTAGCGCCTACCCTATCCCTAAGCTGCCGCGCCGCATCGGTCCCCAGCTTGCCGTGCCGCGCTACCCCCTACCTGCCTAGCGTGTCCCTAGCTGCCGCGCTGGCCCAGCCCGCTGCGTCGGCCACCTCCTGCCGCGCCGCCCTAGCTTGCCGCGATGGCCCCAGCTCGCCACGCGGCCTCGTCTCACTGTGCGGCCCTCGCTCGCCGCGACGGCCCCAGCTCGCCGCGCGACCCTCTACTCTCCGCCGACCCAGCTCACTGTCAGCCCCTCAGCTCGCCACCGGCCCCAGCTCACCGCGCAGCCCTCAGCTCGCCGCAGCCCCCAACTCGCCACCCCGCGTGGCCCTCAGCACGCTGCTGGACCCAGCCCGCCGTCGGCCCCAGCTCGCCGCGCGACCCCCAGCTCGCCGCGACACCTCAGCACGCCGCCGGCCCCAGCTCACCGCCGGCCTCCAGCTCGCCGCGTGGCCCCCAGCTTGCTGCCGTCCTCCAGCTCGCCGCGCGGTCCCAGCCTGCCGCACCGCCCCAGCTAGCCGCGCCGGCGTAAGCTCGCCGCATTGCTCCTGCTTGCCGCCGGCCCCTTACACGCCGCCGGCCCTGGTTCCTCCTCCGAGGCGGCGCCCCTACAGACTTTCTACTCCACCACACTCCACCGCGCTTCACTGCACTCCACCACATTCCACCGCCCTCCACCACATTCAGCTGCCACCTGCTCCTCCTCCGCCTAAGCTCTCCAGCTATTGCCGATGTGCCTCATGGCGGGCGCTGTTCTCCGCCTGGACGCGGAGCATCGGGCTGTCGAGTTTGAGGCGTGTCTCTCCAACCTTCGTCGCCAGCTGAAGGGCCAGCGCGAGGAGAGTTAGTCCCTGGCCGTCCATGTCGACAGTAAGCTGCCCTGCCCCCCTGTGCCTGCTGCCCAACCTAACGCCCCCATGCTGCTAAATGTGCGAACTTCACAACAGCTGAGCTCGCCCGCTCTGTCCGGAAGTTGCGTAACTCAGTTGCGCAGCTTGCTATCAGTTACGCTCTCTCCTTGTCCGAACGTCCCTATTTTCAGGTTGTTGAGAATGCGAAGGAGTAGTTAGACAGTGTCATTGCTCGTTATTCCACCCCCTCCTCCGCTTTTGCTGGCCGTCTCCTTCTGCTCCTGCTCTTCCCTGATCTCTCGTCCTTCCCCACTGTCGCTGATCTTCCTACCCACCTGCGCGCTCTTGAGGCTAGCTACCGCGCTGCTAGCATTGAGGCCCAGCTCACCGTATCCCCCCCCCCCACTCTGCACCACCCTTTACTTTCTAGCCACGCGCCTTCCCGACCGCCTAGCCACTGCATGTGACGCCTTCCTTCCTAGACGAGGGAGAGGGAGCTGACGCCCCAGAACAGCAGCAGCAGCAGCAACAGGAGCAGCAGCAGCAGCAGCAGGAGCAGCAGCAGCAGCAGTAGCAGCCCCCGCGGCAGCAGCAGCAGTAGCAGCAGCAGCCGAGGGGACCCCCGCCGCCGTGGTGGCCCGGCGGCTTTGGTGGTGGTGGCCGCAGTGGCGGCCCTCGCAGCTCGACGTCAGGTGGCGGCTCTAGCTCTGTGATTTGCTGGTACCAGCTCCATTCTGGTCCCTTTCGTGGCACCGTGTGTGGCCACACTGGTCACATCGCAGCCCGCTGCTACCGCTGCCTCGACGACCTCTTTCGTCTTCGCTTCGGCCCAGTGCCGAACCTCTTGGACTGGCCCAGCTTGGTACGTCGTCATGTGCCGGTCTTCGATATGCATATGGATCAGATTAGCTCTGGACCGTGTCCCCTGGTGACACGTCTATGTTCCACGTCTAGGGCTGCTACGCTCGCGTTCGCGCTTCTGGCGTGGAAAAGCTCACTGCGTGCACCATCCCTTGTGCCTTTCTTTGCCTCACCTTGACGCGTCTGACTGGCACTTTTACCACACGCCGTGTCATCGCTTCTTTCACTCGCGTGACGCCACCTTTGACGAGTCTATCTCCTTCTACACCCGCTTTCTTCAATGAGGTCTCCCAGTCACCCCGCCACTGTTTCTTGTCCCGACTCCCCTGGTAGCTCTCGCTCCCCGTCCTGCTCTGACTGGTGTATCTCACGTCACTCCCCTTCATTCAGTTGGCCCGGCGGAGGAGTCTCCTGACTCTGGGGGCCCTGAGGCTTGGTGTGCGCTGCCTGTTTCTGTGGCTCCTACACCCTCGGACCTGGGGTCTCCTCCGCCGCCGCCGCAGCAGCAGACGCAGCCGCAGCCGACGCCGCCGCAGCAGCCGCCGACGCCGCCGCAGCAGCCGCCGTGGCAGCACGGGTCGTTGGGCGCTGGGGGTGCTAGAGCTTGGGGTACTACCACTCAGGAGGGTGCTAGCTCTTGGGGTGCTGGTTCTAAGGGTGCTGGTCTTGCGGGTGCTGGTCCTGGGGGTGCTGATCTTGGGGGTGCTAGTTCTAGGGGTGCTGTCGTGGCAAGTCCTAGAGGTAGCAGTCGTGCGGCTGAAGGTTTTGGTGTGGGCGCGGGGCAGCAGCAGACGCCGCCAGTGTCCGCCCTTCGCCTTCTTGGTCTTCCTTCTCCCGATCGATCGCCTGCACCTCCCCCAGTGCCATCTCCTCCTCCTATCTAGGGCCCTGTGTTCCTTCCGTCGGACTCGTCTGCGGCTCAATTCCCCCTTCGTTCTCCCCTTGTGTCTCCTCCTGTGTCTCCTCCTGTGTCTCCCCCCGTGTCTCCCCTTGTGTCTCCCCCAGTGTCTCCACTTTTGTCACCTTATGTTTCTCCGTTCTCACGTGTCTCGTGCTCCTCCTGCTCCTCTTCTCCTGTCGCCTCCTCAGTCGTCGCTCGATGTCTCTCCACCTCATTTCTCTAACTTCCTCCATGTTGCTCGTCCTCTTGTTCCTCATGTCCTCGCCTCTCTAGTCACCGACCCGTCCGTTCTTGTCTCCAGTCTCGACGCTCTTGTCGCTGACTTTGCCTCTACCCGCCGCCTTGACTACGCCACTGCTCTGGTTTCCGACCCTGCCCGTCTTCCGTCTGTTGGGGGTGCACCTGCCCTTGGTAGTGACCTCCTTAGAGGACAGGTGGTACGAGCTAGCTTTCCTGTCCGCGGTCGCTCGTCATCTCTACTTCATGCTGCTAGCCCCTGAGGGTGACCCAGACGCTCTTGATATGCCGACCCCTTGCACCTACGCTGAGGCAACTTTGGGACCCTGGGCCTCCAAGTGGATGGCTCACATCGACACCGAGATGGCATCTTGGAGATCCACCGACACGTATGTCGACGCAGTTTCCCCACAACGGGTGTCACAGGATCGAATGAGGTTTGCTCAATGTTCCACTATCCATGAGTACAAAGTGCTTTTATGCTTCCATAGTACATCAGGTAACCAAGTTTATCCTATCCAAAGGGAATAGACCCTTGTAGAAATAGAATCACCACGCGTATAGCCACGCGAGGCTATTGGCTTTAAGAGATTACGGCAGGATTACGTTAGATATAGCGGGCCAGTACATCCCGAGCCTGGTCGGTGATATAATTATAATAACATGATAAACCAAAGGATAATGGAAAAGGAGGAGTAGGAAACCAAATGAGATGAGATAAATACCAAATGAATCAGGATAAAATGAGGAATGAAATAGAAAGGAAATATGGAAAGGAGAAATTGGTGTAACGGGGTCGTACTCTCACACTTCCCCCCCTCAAAGCTGGGTGGTAGAAATAACACCCTGCTTGACAAGGTAGTCGCGAAGAGGACGATGGGCGTTACCCATGTTGAATTCAGACATGAGACACGGTTATATTTTCAACCATGACGGTGTCCGAGCACGTGTCCCATGGCGTGGACGAACACGACGGCGACGATCGTGAGCACTTGGTGTAGAGCGTGTTTGGTCTTGATACGATTTAAGACGCTGGTATGGAAGGCGTTATGGATCTTCCAAGTGGCTGGTAGGCGGAAGCGGAAGGTGACTTAAGTGACATTTGCTTCAACGATGATAGACCCGCAGAAGCAAGGTTGAAGCTTGGATGGAGGATGGCTGATGTCAAGATTACGGTCTGGATAACGTTAGTGATGAGTGGCCAAGTGCTTGTGCTGTTGTTGGATGTCCAAGAGGCGCTTGTGTGGTCGATCTACAAGATGGTGGATGATGGCAATGAAATCGGAAGCCAGTTGGACTGTAACAAGAACTGTCTGTTGCTACGGAGTCAGCAGGCTCCGTCCACAGCAAGAAAGGATGGCGTGTATCGTCGTCAGTGATATATGGGCAGGTGCAAGTCGTAGTTGGAGATTTGAGTGGTTGGAACAGTGTGCTGTAACGTGCAGATGAATGGCTATGTTGTCCGATATGTGCATGCTGCTACTCGGATCTGGTCCACGTGTGAAGATCACCAAGTGTTGGTGGTATGGCAGTCGTGTCATAATACTGCTTCTGTCGCTGTGTTGTATCCGATACATGCAGCTTCTGTTGAATGCTCATCCATGCCTTAGTGTTGTCGCGAGTCGTACCCTCTCGGCATCGTAGTGCTATGGAATGGAGAACAAAATTACTAGTAGTAACCTTGTCCACCACGTGGTCTGCTAGTTACACTGTCTTGAGTACAACAGTGCATGTGAAGTATTGCTCACCGTATCCCTTGTGTTCTGAACCATGCGAGGGGCTGGTACCATAAGCGCGGAGCTAGTAACTTCCAGAATTGGTGCATAAGTATTCCCTTGGTGGTTGCTCAAGCAAGGAATCTCAACTGCGTAGATATCCCACGGTGATGGGTTAGGACATCTGGGAATGTTAGGGCTATTCCCAAATAATCTTTTCCCATTTCCAAGTGGGCATTGGTGACAGCCAATCCAGTATGACCTTATGCAGTTCCAGTTTAGCACGAAGGCCATCGATAGGCATCAGTGTTTGGGTGCACAAATTGGGATAGGTCTTCTGGTGCC